GAGGCAGAGGTTGCAGTGAGCCGAGATCATGCCATTGCACTCCAGCCTGGGCAACAAGAGCGAAACTCCGTTTCAAAAAAAAAGAAAAGAAAATATGTATTGTTGGAAAGTGTGGGGAGAAGAGTTTGTGGTTTTAGAAACAATGGTCAGGGGCTGGGCGCAGTGGCTCATGCCTGTGATCCCAGCACTTTGGGAGGCCCAGGTGGGAGGATCGCTTGAGCCCAGGAGTTTGAGACCAGCCTGGTCATCGTGGCCAAACCCCATCTCTAAAAAAATACAAAGGTTAGCCGCATTTGGTGATGCACGCCTGTAGTCCCAGCTACTCAGGAGGCTGAGGCAGGAGAATGGTGTGAACCCGGGAGACGAAGCTTGCAGTGAGCCGAGATCGCGCCACTGCTCTCTAGCCTGGGCCACAGAGCAGGACTCTGTCTCAAAAAAATAAAATAAAATAAAAATACAAAAAATTAGCTGGGCATTGGTGGTGGGCACTTGTAATCCCAGCCACTCAGAGGGCTGAGGCAGGAGAATTGCTGGAACCCAGGAGGCGGAGGTTGCAGTGAATAGATCACACCACTGCACTCCAGCCTGGATGACAGAGTGAGACTCCATCTCAAAAACAAAAAAGATATGGAGACGAGGGTGGCTCTGAGGCTTATGGCCTGGGCAACTGGAAGGTTAGGAGTTGCTATTTACTGAGAAGCTGATGCAAGCAGGTTGGGCCCTGGGCCCCATCTTGGCTGTTTCTGTTAGGCAGCTGGATGGAGATGTCAAGTTGGCTACTGGTTATGCATGTGTGTAATTTAGGGAAGTCTGGGCGAGGGGTATGTGCCTGGGGGTTGTCAGCTCACAAGAAGGCATTTAAAGCCATGAAATGGCTGAGATCACCTAGGGCAAGAGCGTTAAATATAAAAGAGACCTCAAGATTGGCTCTGAGCATGTGAACGTTAGAATCTCAGCCAGAGGAGCAGCCAGGCAGGTCAGGAGAACCAGGAGGGGCTGGTGTCCTGGAAGACCAGAGACCAGAGTTTCAGGGAGGGAAAACTCAGGGATGTCAGAACTGCTGAGGGTCAAGTTTGGTGAGGATGGAGAACTGGCCATTGAAATTAGTACCATGGAGGGCGTCAGTGACCCCACCCGAGCCAGTTTGGCAGAGTGCGGGGGCTGTTTGTATGAGTCTAGGTGGAGTGCCATCAGGGAGAGCAGAGCAGAGGAAATGGGCGACAGGAGTGCAGACAGACTTTGGAGGTTTTGCCGTAAGGGGGGGACAGAAATGGGGTCCCTTTTCCTCAACATGCTGGACAGGGCCAGGGCCAGGCCCAGGCTGGGAGGTGGCCTTGCAGGCTTTGATGGGTGTGCTCTGGGGATGAGGGCTGCCAGGAGGCTGTTCCTGCACAAGACGCTTTGCCCACCAAAGCCCACAGTTCCCCTGCTCATTTCTGCCCCACAGTCCATGCTGCTTCTGGCCCCGAAGCTGAACGAGGCCAACCTCAATGTGGAGCTGATGAAGCACTTTGCACGGCTACAGGCCAAGGATGAACAGGGTCCCATCCGCTGCAACACCACGGTCTGCCTGGGCAAAATCGGCTCATACCTCAGTGCCAGCGTGAGTGTCCTGCACAACTGCTGGAGCCTGGTCCCTGTCGCAGGACCACGGCCTCCTCCAGGGCAGGAGTCCTGTGTGTGTGGGGCCTTCATTCTCCCAGAGACCAGGCCCTGAACGCTGTTGGTCCCATATCTGGGTTCCAGAGGTGGAGTGAATTGGCCAAGGTCACACCAGCCAGGAGGGTGGATCTGGGATCAGAATCCAGGCCTGCTTGGCCTCCCGGCCTGTGTGCATCCTCTCAGCCAGGGTTTGTAAGTTCAGATGCTTGCTGTGCCCAGACAGTTAACAGGAATGAACAATCAGCTGGGCAGGGAGGAAGGGAGCCTGTGTCCGAGCCCTGGGGATAGCTGCTGTTGTGGTCCCATGCCTGAGGCAGTGTGGAGCCCAGTGATTTGGGAAGAGAAGCCCAGGTCCAGAGTTTTAGGTAAACTCTCCCCATTTAAGTGATTCATTTACATTTTTCAGATTCTGGGGGCCTACGTGTGGCCCCGTTCTGGGAAGTAAGGGCTGGTGGTTCTGGGCCCAACACTGACCCTCTACTCAGGGAGCCCTCTTTCCTGCCCATCATAGACAGACACAGGGGTCCTTACTTCCGCTTCAGCCGAGCCACTAAGGACCCGTTTGCACCGTCCCGGGGTTGCGGGTGTCTGGGCTTTGCTGCCACCCACAATCTCTATCAATGAATGACTGTGCCCACAAGATCCTGCCTGTGCTCTGCGGTCTCACTGTAGATCCTGAGAAAATCTGTGCGGGACCAGGTGAGGCACAGCTGGGCCTGGCCTTGGGCTGGGGCTGTAGGGATGTCAGGCCCTAGCTGGCCTGGTAGGTTCTTGGGAACCCCAGAGGCCCCCAGCTCTGCCCCTTGTTACCCCACAGGCCTTCAAGGCCATTCGGAGCTTCCTGTCCAAACTGGAGTCTGTGTCGGAGGACCCGACCCAGCTGGAGGAAGTGGGGTGAGTGGCCTACACTCGTGTTCCTTCTTTCCCTGCTATGTACTTGACAGTGACCTGTTTGTGTCCCACCCCCACTGGAGTTTCTGAAAGGCCCTTGTGAGCAGACTGACTCAGCTCCCCCTTCACAGATGGAGAAATCAGGCCTGGAGAAGGGAGTGGCGGCTACAGGGCATGTCAATTCCTGCTGTCCTGTCACCATGGGTACCTGACGTGCCCATACCACCTCTCTCTCATGCCACTGCCAGAGAAGGATGTCCATGCAGCCTCCAGCCTGGCATGGGAGGAGCCGCAGCCAGCTGGGCAGGCTGGGCCGTGACCGGGGTCTCCTCACTCACCTCCAAGCTGATCCGTGTGCACCCCACCACTGCCCCCCAGAGACAACATTCCCCAAAGACCCACACCTGAAGGTGAGCGTCCTGGCCTGGCTGCATCAGTGATGAGAGGGTGGGAGCTGCAGGCACCAGGAACTGTTACTGTCTGGACTCCCCGGGGATGGTGAGGGGGAATATAGGGGCTGGGGTAGGCTCTAGTCACCCTGTGGGCTTCCTTGGGCACCCTTCTCCCCAGTAGCCCCCTTCCCCTAGCAGCCTCTGCCCTGTCCCAAGACTCCCTGAAAGCTCAGTGAGCCTTGCTCCCAGGAGTCCTGCCCCGGCTCACCCCTGTTCTGCTACCCCTACAACCTCAGGCCACTGGGAGACGCAGGAAGAGGACAAGGACACAGAGAGGACAGCAGCGCTGCTGACAGATGGGCGACGAAGACTGGGGCAGCCTGGAGGGTGTGGGGCTGAGGGAGCCTCCCCAGGGGACCCCAAGCTCAAATTCACAGGCTGCCATTCAGGGAGCTTTCTGTGGGGCCTGGCTGGGAGTTGGCCTGTCCTCATCTGCATAGCATCCCTGGCGCATAGGCTTCATGGAGTGGCCATTGTAGACCAGAGCCAGCAGCAGGCCCAACTCGACCGTGGCCCCAGGGAGCAGGGCTGGGCAGATGGTGCCTGGGGCATTCCATGGACTTCCTCACTCTCACCCACCACATCCCTCTTCCCCCTCCTCAGTGCCCCCAAGCCCTGGGAGTCAGCAAGGAGAGGCAACTCCTAGTCTAGAACCAGACCAGTTCTGCTTGGGGCATGGGTTCAGGATGGGCTGACGGGAGGACTGGGGCTGCCCTCAGAATGGGCAGAGCTGGGGGCCCAATTTCCCCATCTGACTGAGAGCAGCATTTTCTGGCCCCCAAGGCTGTTGGAAGGGGCATCTATATCTCATTTCCCCGGCCTCAAAAGAGGGTTGAAGGCAGGCCAGGGTTCAGCGTCATTTAATATATGGGAAACAGAGCCTGAGGAGCAAAATGAGGGGGAAGGCAAAAGACAGTGGTGGGGCCCGTGGCTCGGACAGTTGCTGGGGCCGGCCACTTGCCTTTAGCATGCGGTGGGAGTCAGTGGTCCCTTCCCACACTGCAGCAGGAGGCTGGGTCCGTGCTGGCCAGAGGATGACTGGAGCACTGGGGGGCCAGTGAGCCATGCTGTCAGGTGAGCTGGGTCAGGGGGTGTGTGTGTATGGGGCCCTTTCCTCCCTGGGCCCAGGGCTACTTCCCCTTCCGCTCTTCTACAGGTTAGCAACTCCGACCACAAACCCTCCAAATCCCAGAGTCCGACTGGAGCAGCTGGGAAGCTGAGGGCTCCTGGGAACAGGGCTGGCAGGAGCCAACTCCAGGAGCCACCTCTCGAGGGTACGCGGCTGGCCAGCGAGTATAACTGGGGTGGCCAGAGTCAGCGACAAGGGTGACCCCTTCGCTAACCCTGTCTGCACGTCCCAGCACCCAGGTACCCAGCATGGGGTCTGGCGAGAGGGTAGAGATGGTGGGCCTCAGCCGAAGTGGGCCCCACTGCAGCCCACACTTTTCTTTACAGCCTAGGCCGGACTCGTGGGGTGAGGAAACTGGGGAGGGCTGAGACGGAAAGTCGTAAGTGCTTCCCTGGGCGGGCTGGAAGATAGGGCTCCAACCAGCCCGTCCCTACAGGCCCCAGGCAGGCACTGGCTGGAGAGCTGAGACCGGGGGCTCCCTCCTAACCCCAGGACATGCCAAGCTGAGCTGGCCCGGAAGAAGCGCGAGGAGCGGCGGCGGGAGATGGAAGCCAACGCGCCGAGAGGGAAGGCGGCCAAGGGCCCCCATTGAAGCTGGGAGCCCGGAAGCTGGACTGACCGGTGCGGTGGGCGCTTCCCGGCCGCGGAGAGGCCCGCCCCACAGATGTATTTATTGTACAAACATGTGAGCCCGGGCCGGCCGGCCAGGCATCTCACGTGTACATAATCAGAGCCACAATAATTCTATTTCACACCCCCTGTGCCCGGGCCCAGTTCTAGCCCGTGGAGGTGGCTGGGGTCGGTGCCGCGCTGTGCAGCCCGCGCCCACGTCAGACGTGAACATCAATTTGCTTCGAAAGACAGGATAAAGAGGCACGATCTGATTTATCAGTTTCTAGGAACACCCTCTGGGAGGAAGGCAGACAGCGCCGCCGGGGGACCTTACAACCGCCCCGCAACGGGTGGGCGGTAGGGGCGCCGCGGGTCTCAAGGCGCAGGGAGGGTCTGCGGGCCCCAACGTCCCTGGGTCCGAGCCCAAGTGGGGCAGAAGTGAGGCGAGCTCGCAGAAACCCTCAGTGATCACGAGGTCTGGGCCGAGGGCGGTGTCAGCGTCGGCGCTGGGGAACGCAGGCCCCGTGCGGGCGGCTGCGCGCGAAGCGGCTTTGCGACGCAGCGGAAGGAGCCGCTGTGTTCCAGCAGCGCTCGCTCTTGCACAGCAGCCCACGCTGGTTCAGCTCTCGGCACTCGTCGATGTCTGCAGGTGGGGCGACAGGTGCGGCTTCGCTGAGCCTCCAGGCGGCTCCTCACCACAGGCCCTCCCCTGCCCACCCCAAAGCCCTGCTCACCACGCAGCGGGCACGGGGGCGTCGAGCTGGAAGCCGCCGGGACACTCGCACACGGCGCCGCCTGGCCGCGGCACACAGCGGCCACTCACACAGCGGACACTCGTCTGAATCCTCTCTGAACTGTCCTCATCTGCATGGCCCAGAACAATACGGCCTTCAACACTGACCCCCGGCCAAAGGCTACCAACCCCCACAGCCCGCCCGGCAGCACTCACTCTCCGGGGCTTCCCCAGCAGCAGGGGGGCTCGTGTCCCAGAAGGAATTGCTTTCGCTCTGCGATGTCGGGGGCACTGGGACCCTGGGAGGAGCAGAGCTGGTCAGCGACGCTGGGGTCCCAGGCCCTGGCCCCCATCCTCGCTCCTGGCCAACTCCTCCCCGACTGCCTACCGCTCCGCGCGGCGGGCACGGGCGGCACTGGGCGCCCCAGCCGCGGCCCTGGCGGCAGCAGCAGTCGTCGAAGGTAAGGGCAGGCCCGGCCTGGGGGCCCGCGCACATGCCGTCCTCTCCGCGCTGACTCCAGCACACGTCGCGCCGTCCGGGGCGCGCTCTGTGGACAGCACCTGGCATCAGGGAGGGGCCCAGGCAGGGACCGCCCGCTCCGCCCCACACCACCAGGCGGGAGCCACATGACGGACAGGGCCCTGGCGACCCTCGCCTCACGGCCGGGTCTCGGGAGCTGGCAATCGCGGCCGGCGGGCCCGGGCACCAGGGCGGGCGACACTCGCAGCGGGTAGGAGCCCGGCAGGTTGACGCAGCGGCCAGGGGGCAGGCTGCCGGGGTCCTGACCTCGTCCACGTCTACGAACAGCGAGGGGTGGGTGGGAGCCGTACAGCTCGGCCCAGGGCCCGCCCCCCGCGTACCCCACTCCCCGGCCCGGGCCTCACCATCTCTTCCGGGCTCAGGCACTGGCGCTGCGCAGGACTGTACTCCGCTGGGGGCGTGCAGGCACAGCGGTAGCCGCCGCGCGTGTTCTCACACCACTCCGTTCCGGCAGTTGGACTCGTCCAGGCATTCGTCCACGTCTGCAGGGAGGAAAAGCGTGGTGGTAGGGGCAGGCCCGGGATGGGCGGGGTGGCGCGTGTCTCCCTGCCGCTTCCCCACGGCCGCCAGGGGGCTGAGCTCACCACGCATTCCGCAGGTTCCGTCGTAGTAGAAGCCCTGCTTGCAGTAGCACTCGTAGCCAGGCTGTGTGTTCACGCACTTGCCCTCCTTGCAAATCTCCGCCCGAACAACATGCACTCGTCGATGTCTGACGGGTGACAACAGTGGCCGCTCCGGCCCGCAGCCGCGGCCGGAGGCGTGGGCTGGGCCTCACCACCGAGCGAAGCCATCCCGCGGGGCTGGGGGTGGGGCCTACAGAGGGGCGGGGCGGTGAGGGAAGGGCGGGGCTTACTAGGCGCGGGCAGCTGACCCAGCGAGCGCCGGCGGGATCCGCGTGATCCCAGCCCGGGGTGAGTGAGCGCGGGGCGGGCGGAGCGGCGGGGGCGCTTACCACGGTGGGCTGGGATGCCGTAGTTGACGATGTTGTTGTCCTGGGTGTTAGCCCTTTCCGTCTGGGCAGAGGCTGTGGAACCGGCTGCGGCGGGCAGGGCGGCCGTGGGGAGGAAGGGGCAGGGACTGAGCGCGCCGCGTGGGGTTTCGGGCTGCAGCCCGCCGCCTATTTCCCCAACTGCCAGGGGCGCCATTTCCCACATTTGGCTTCCAGAGGAAGAAACTGAAGATCTGGGAAGGGGCCTGCCCGGCTCCTGACCTGAGGCTGTAGACTGGCAGGGTAGATTTCGCAGTGGTCGCCCCAGCCGGCCCCCAGCGAGCAGCAGCACTCCTGCTGGGTGACGTTGGTGGCCAATACGCTGTCGCAGAACACTGTGGTCATCGAAGTTCAGGTAGCCTCCTTCTTATGGTGGGGCTGCTCCACCTCTGAGGGGTGGAGGGCAGCTCAGGGTCGTGCACATACCCCTTGGCCCTGTCCACCCTGCCCACCCACCACAGCTCTTTCCCCCCACCTTCCCTGGCCCCTCAGTCTCCTCCTGAGAGCTGGCTCTGTTCTCAACGTGGTGTTCTGGGCCCTTCATGGTCTGGCCCCACCAGACTCCCCCAGACAAAAGGATTTCTTCCGGTTCCCCAAATTCAGGAGGGTGAGGCCAGGACACATCTCTGAACCCCAGCTGCAGCTCAGGGGAGTTGTCCAGTCCAAGGGAGGCGCTGGGAGGATACTCACCCTCACAACCGTGCTGGTCCTGGGTGGGAGTGAAGCCCTCATCGCAGACACACACATAGGAGCCCTGAAGGTTCTTGCAGGCCCCGTGGGGAAGGCACAGGCCTGGGTCCTGGGTGCACTCATCTATGTCTGGGGGGCAAGAGTAGCGCAGATGGAAACCCAGCCCCTCTTTCCCTGGGGCTGCACCTCAAGGGCCTCACGCAAGTTCAGAACCTGAATTTCCACTTTGGTTTCAAAGTATGTACAGCAGGAAGTCTGCTGAGCCTGTGCATGTGTCTGAATGTGCATGTGGACATTCACTGCTGTCCTTCATAACACCTTCAGTGGCTCCCACTAACCTTACAAGACCTAAAGGTATCGGAAGCCCAAATGGAAAGGCCTCAAATGCCACTAAACTCAGCTTGGCATTTGAGGCCTTTCGAATTGAGCTTCGGATACCTTTAGGTCTCATCACGCCTTACTCTAGACCACCTTCCACTCCCCAACTCTGTGCTCAGGGCACCCTCCCCTCCTCTGTAAACGTAACTAGCTCCTTCCAGATCTCTGTGCTTTGCAATTACTGCTCTTTGGTCCTGGAATGACTTCTCGTGCCTTGCCTTTCCCATGCCTAGGGAACTCCTACTTACGTTTTGGTCCAGTTCAGTCCAGTTCAGCATTCACCTCCCCATTGCAATTAATCATTAGTCCATACCTTTCTTGACACCCAGGACCCTGAACTGTCAGAATCAGTTTACATGTCGGCCTCCCTAGCTGGGAGCCCTGGGTGATTGCTGATTACCTAGTACAAAGCACAGAACCTGGAAAATAGTAGGTGCTCAATAAACTTTTTTTTTTTTTTTTTTGAGATGGAATCTCACTCTGTTGCCCAGGCTGGAGTGTAGTGGCGCAATCTCGGCTCACTGCAACCTCCACCTCCCATGTTCAAGCGATTCTTCTGCCTCAGCCTCCCGAGTAGCTGGGACTACAGGCGCGCACCATCACGCCCAGCTAATTTCTGTATTTTTAGTAGAGACAGGGTTTCACCATATTGGCCAGGCTGGTCTCAAACTCCTAACCTCATGATCTGCCCGCCTCAGCCTCCCAAAGTGCTGGGATTACAGGCGTGAGCCACTGCCCCCAGTCTGAGCCACTGCACTCAGCCTAAACTTTTGTTGGATGAACGCATGTATGGGTGAGTTGATGGGGAAGACCAATACATTAATATCTGTAAAGAGCTTAACAGAGTGGCTGGCACACAGTAAGCACAACAATAGCACTAACTGTCATGTTTACTGTGATCATTGTTATTCCAGGTGAAAGACCGGAAGGCTGAGCAGATGGATGGGTGGGTGGGTGGAAGGATAGATGAAAAGATGGATGGATGGAAGGAAGGAAGGAAGGAAGGAAGGAAGGAAGGAAGGAAGGAAGGAAGGAAGGAAGGAAGGAAGGAGGGAAGGAGGAAGGAAGGAAGGAAAGAAGGAAGGAAAGAAGGAAGGAAGGAGGGAAGGAAGGAAGGAAGCAAGGAGGGAAGGAGGGAAGGAAGGAGGGAAGGAAGCAATAGAGAAAGGCCACAGTGTATCTAGGGAATTACTGCTCCCTGTCACATCCCTCAGGAACTCTCAGCCAGTCCCCCATACCTTGGCATTTCCTGCCACCCACCAGCCGATGCCCTGGGGGCAAAGACATCTGTAGGAGCCATTGGTATTGATGCAGTCACCCCCAATGCAGGCTGCAGGGAAGTCACACTCATCAATGTCTGTAGGGGATGGAAGGGGTGGAGACTCTCAGGGGCTGATCACCACCCCGGCCTGAGGCAGCCAGAGATTTCCCCCAGAGCCCTGGGTCAGTCCCACGCCTCCATGCCCCAACTGAGATCTGGATTAGGACTGGACCCTGGGGGGTGGGGGTCCTGGGGGGGAAGCACAGGTCAGCACCCCAGCTCTAAGATCCCTCACCCTCGCAGTGGCTCCGGTCCCTGGACAGATGGTAGCCAGAGAGGCACTGACACTGGAAAGATCCTGGTGTGTTGGTGCAGATGCCATTGTCACACACGTCCCCAGCCTCACACTCGTCCACATCTGAAGGGCATAGGGGGTGTCAGAGGACCAGGCTGGGAGGTCTTGGGTTTCTACTACTCTTTTCTCACTTCTCCGCATGGCCTGGAGCACCAGAGCTGAGGCCAGCAGCACTCAAGCACAGGTCTCACCCTGCTTCTGGGTGGCACATGGTGCCCTGGTGACCAGGCTGGTGCTGCCAGGGTCTCTAGGCCAGGTCTGATGCTAAAGAGCCTCCCCAGCCTCCCCCAGCCTCTCTCCCTGCCCCAGCCGCTTTCACTGCTGCTCCCATCCTTCCCTCACCTGCCATGGCTCCCTTTTTCCCAGGTGGATAAACTCCCTATCCCTGTCCTTTCCCCTTTCTCCTGCTCATGAGGTAAAGGAACTTGACCCTCCCCTGGGACACACTTTCCTGAGGCCTCTTTGGTGGAGCCCGTTGTTGCCCACACCCTAGACCCCTCCAAGCCACGGCTCTGCCTCTGAGGTGCCGCTGGCCTCCTGCAGCCTCAGCCCTCCTGTGGCTGTCAGCACCCACCTTCCTCGCTCCTCCTGCTCTGTTTTCCTCTCCATCCTGGGAGTTTCAAACATCCGCGTGGACAAACAGTTCAGCCTCTGACCTCACATTCCTGGATCTCTCGGCTTCCATGACCTTCCCCTCACTCTCAGGGTCCCAAGGGGATTTTCATCACTTAGATCTGCTCCACCCTGGGGCCCTCAGAGGCTGCCTGCTTTCCACGGTTCTCAGGTCCTCACTTCCACCTTCCCTCTCACAGGGCCTGGTGCCTCCCTCTCAGTCCTCTGAGCTTGCCTAACACCCTCAGACTCTGACAGTTCCCAGCTGGAGCCCAGGGTTCATCACCCCTAGGACTCCCGTCCCTGATCCATAAACACCTCTCCTTCCTCCTCACTGGTCTGGCAATGCCCAGTCTCTGGTCAAAGCTGTGGCCTGTGGATCCTGGGTGTAGGGTGGGATTGGAGCAGCCACCAAGCTGAGCATGCTGGGCCAGAGCCACACGCTTCAGCCTCAGTCCAGCAGAGCCTCGTGTGGCTGGCACCTCCCTCTCTGACTCCTCTCAAGCTTTGACTTCCACAAAGCCCCTAGGCAGCCCCATGCCCTGGGGCATTTCCAAACCGCCACTGTTCTCCTGAGTCCCCTACTCAACCCAGGCCCTTCACTGTGTATTGAGAGAATTAAGGGTAATCGCCCTTAACCCACTGAACATCGTTATCTACATCCATTCCCCTCCTGCTCCTGTTACAGCAAGAGATGTCCTTCCCCTGTCCACAGCCAGCTGCCCACTGGCTCTCCTCCCTCCTCTCCTGACCCTGATGCCCTTGTCTCCTGGTCCACTCTCTTGGCATCACCTCCTCAGCCTATACCAAAGCCCTACTTAGGAAGAGCAAGAGTCCCCAGGTCTTGTTCTTCCTCACTTGCTGCCCACATATCCTGGCCTCTGTCCCCATCATATCCCAAAAGCTACCCTGCCAAGGCCACGAAGGACCTTCTTGCCAAGGAAGGCATCACTAGAATTTCCATGTAGGATTAGGGGGCAGACCCCTAAGTCTTGTTCTAAGACTTGTTGTCTCACCAGTTCTTATTTTACAAGAACCTCTCTACTGCACTTAGCTCATCCTCCTCCTTCCCTGGAAATATGTCCTCCCCAGCTTCCCAGATGGTGCCCCTCAGGTGCCCCTACTATCCCTCCCCCACCACGTCCTCCAACTCCTTCCCCAGCCTGCCTCTGAACTGTCAGTGTCCACAAGGCTCTGCTAGATGCTCTGCTTACCCAACCCACCTTGGGTTGGCTAAGCAGGCCCACCCAAGACTCCATAGCTCCCCTGGTCCATGGTCCATCATTCCAGGTGGGTATGCTGGCATCTCCTGCTGAGAGGCACGATCCACCCAATTTGTCCAATGTGGAGCTCAGCATTTTCCCTCCCAAATATGCTCACTTCTGAGGACCCATTACCAGTGAGCAGCACCACCCCCTCACTCACCCAAACCAGAAACGGGGAGGGGTCGTTACCACCCTCACTTTCACTTGACATCCACTTAAAAAACCCAGGAGGTCTAACATTTCTCCAATACCATCGTCTCATGGCCATCCTGAGGCCACCACTCATCCTGTCCACCACTGTCTCCGCCCTAAGTCTCTCCAACAGACCTCCAGCTACCCTCCACAATCAGCAGCCGGGAACGTTCTAAAACAAATGACAAATCTTGTCACTCTTGCACTTTAAATGCTTCAGGTGAACACCTTCTGGGTGAAGCACAACCTCCCAGGCAGGAATTAGGGGACCCTCCAAGGGATGGGGATCTGCCCCTCCCCAGCCGGCCTCAGCCCCCATACCCGGGTCATTCCTTACAGTTCCCCAACACCCCACCCTCTGTCTCACCTCTGATCTGCCAGTGCCAGCCCCTATGCCTGGCATGCTGTTCCTCTCCTCCTCCTTTCTTGCCTAATTCCTAGTGATTCTTTTTTTTTTTTTTTTTTTTTGAGACGGAGTCTCGCTCTGTCACCCGGGCTGGAGTGCAGTGGCCGGATCTCAGCTCACTGCAAGCTCCGCCTCCTGGGTTTACGCCATTCTCCTGCCTCAGCCTCCCGAATAGCTGGGACTACAGGCGCCCGCCACCTCGCCCGGCTAGTTTTTTGTATTTTTTTTTAGTAGAGACGGGGTTTCACCGTGTTAGCCAGGATGGTCTCGATCTCCTGACCTCGTGATCCGCCCGCCTCGGCCTCCCAGAGTGCTGGGATTACAGGCTTGAGCCACCGCACCCGGCCTTCCTAGTGATTCTTTAAGACGACCCAGGCCTCCTTCCTCCCATCCCGCTGTGTCTCCAGGAAGCAGCCCAGCTGCATCCAGGCCCAGCACTGCACACTACAGTCTGTGTCTTTCCTTCAGTTTTCTCTGAGTCCCAGCCCCCAGCCCCGCCTCTTGGTGTATAATAAACATGAGTGCAGGGGGGACTACTATCCTCTCCACCCATTCTTTGATATCTTTTTTCCTTCAAATTGAAGTAACATGCTTTGCAAACGCAGCTTCAAGCTCTGCCCCCTAAGACTCTTGCTATGTGGAAATTCTAGTGGTGCCTTTTTTTTTTTTTTTTTGAGACGGAGTCTCACTCTCGCCCAGGCTGGAGTGCAGTGGTGCGATCTCGGCTCACTGCAAGCTCCGCCTCCCGGGTTTACGCCATTCTCCTGCCTCAGCCTCCCGAGTAGCTGGGACCACAGGCGCCCGCCACCACGCCCGGCTTTTTGTATTTTTAGTAGAGACGGGGTTTCACCGTGTTAGCTAGGATGGTCTCGATCTCCTGACCTCGTGATCCGCCCGTCTCGGCCTCCCAAAGTGTTGGGATTACAGGCGTGAGCCACCGCGCCCCGCCCTAGTGGTGCCTTTCTTGCAAGGTTCGTTGAGAAAATGAATGAGCAGAGCCACCTGGGGATGAATGAGCTACCTTCCACCCACTGTTTACAGCGTGACCCGCTCCCTGGCTTCAGCGCGTGGAGCGCTGCGGAGGCCCGGGGCTGGGGTGCTGGCGCTCACCTACGCAACTGCGGCCGTCGGGCGCGGGCGCGTAGCCCTGGGCACAGGTGCAGCGGAAGGAGCCCGGGAGGTTCTCGCACCAGCCAGGCGAGCAGGGGCTGCCCTCGGCGCACTCGTTCACATCTGCGGCAGAAAGACCTAGCCTCGGACTCTGCCCCACCGGAAGGCGGACCGCGCACCCCTCGGGGATGTGGGTCTCTTCCTCCCAGAAACGCGGGATTGAGCGGACAGCGTCTACTCTCGGAAGGCCCCGCCCCCAGACGCCAATCACCACCGCTAGCCCCGCCCCGCCCCCAGCGGAGCCAGACTGGGGTAGGCACCCGACAGCCCCACCCACTCGCATGCAGGCCCCGCCCTCACCGCGACAGGCCCCGCCCCCCTGACTGCGGTAGCCAGGTTGACAGGCTATGCACTTGAAGCTCCCGGGCTTGTTCTCGCATTTGCCATCCGGGCAGGAGCTCGGGTCCCGGCACTCGTCGATATCTGCACGGGAGGGAGAAGGAAGAGGACCCATCTGCGGACAACGTGGGTGGCCCGACTCCCAGCGTCCACAGCAGGGCCTTCCCCCTACACAAATCTACCAGGCTCTCGGAACCGCAACCTCTGAAAGGCCCAGAGCTGAGCATACAGGCTGGGTGCGGTGGCTCACGCCTGTAAATCCCAGCACTTTGGGAGGCCGAGGCGGGTGGATCACCTGAGGTCAGGAGTTCCGAGACCAGTGTTGCCAACAAGGTGAAACCCCGTCTCTACTAAAAATACAAAAATTAGCCAGGCGTGGTGGCAGATGTCTGTAATCCCAGATACTGGGGAGGCTGAGGCAGGAGAATCGCTTGAACCCGGGAGGCGGAGGTTGCAGTGAGCCAAGATCTTACCACTGCACTCCAGCCTGGGCGACAGAGACAGACTCCGTCTCAAAAAAAAAAATAATAATATAATAATGCAGGCCCCCCAGGCCCACCCCAGGTGGGGAGACAGCTAAGGAGCCCCTTCTTTGATCTGAATGGGTTCCCCTCACCTTCGCACACAGGAGGCCGGGAGGCTTTGAGCCGGTAGCCGGGGTAGCAGTTGCACTTGTAGTGACCGGGAAAGTTGATGCAGAAGCCGCCGTCGCCGCACAGGTGGGGCTTGGCGCATTCGTTCAGGTCTGTGCGGGAGGAAGGGGCCACGAAGCGGGTGTTGGAGGCGGCGGCCGTGGGGTGGGGATTACACGGCGGTCTGGAGGAGAGCCTGTCCCACCCAAGGCCGCCCCCGCCCTGGCGGCGCTCACCCACGCACGAGCGCCCCCCGGCGCCCACATGCAGGCGGTAGCCGCGGTTGCAGTGGCAATTGTAGGAACCGCCGGTGTTCATGCAGATGCCCCTGCCCGGGCCACAGGGCTCTGCCTCGCACTCGTTCACATCTGAGAAGAACCGGTAGGCCGAGAAAAGTCAAAGGAAGCATCACTATCTAGGGTCGCCCGCCCTCCGCTACCCACCTGCACGCCCGCGCCTGCCCCGCCCTCACCCACGCAGTAGCGGTGCTGCGGATGTGACCGGTAGCCCGGGTTGCAGTGGCAGGAGTAGTCTGGGGGGCCTGGGACGCACTCTCCATGGCCACAGATGTTCTGGTTCAGTCGGCACTCATCAGTCTCTGCGGGCATGGCCAGGTCAGGGGGAGAAGCAGGGAGCGCTCACCTTATGTCAAATCCCCAGGGCAGACCTTAACACCCTAGTCACACCATGACCTCAGGTTCCTGTATGCCCATACTCCAACTCCAGGATGTTCTATTTCTCTCTGTTAGATAACCCCAATATCAAGACCCCAGAAAGCTCCAAACCAGGACTCTGACTTCCTTATTACCCCACACCCAGGCCGCCATACTTCCATTCCTAGTTCACTCCAAGACCCTGACCCCAGTCACCTCAAACCAAGCCACATCCCTTCAGGGCCCCTCAGCAGTCCCAGTACTCCCACCCAAGGGACTAAAACCCCTTTCTCCCCAGTCACCTCAACACCTCAAACTCTATAGCCTCAGTCACACCACTATCCTCTAGCCCAGTGACTCCAAAAGCCCTTGCCCCAGGGACCAGACCCCCCTATTCCAGAAGGGTTGATTACCCCCCTCCCAGGACTAGCAGTAGCTGGTTTCCTGGGAATCCTAACTAGTGCCAGAGTTGTGCACAGGCGCTCAGATCCAGGAACCCTCCCTCACTCTCTTTTGTCACCAAGCCCAGGACTCCCTGCCTCCAACATCTCCCTCCTTTGGATCCTCACTGCTCACCAGTTTCATTTCCCACAGCCCCTTCCCCCTCACCCCTGCCATGCAGCCTGGGCCATGACAGTGAACTCTGCTGCGCCCCAAACCCACCTGACCAGTGGGCTTTGCAGGTGGTTCTCTTTGCCTGGAGTACCTCTCCTTAGGCTTCCTTAACAGCCCCTCCTTTGAGGGCCCTTGTCCACATTCCCAGTTCCCCCAAGAACAGCCATCTCCCACCTGAGCCCTCACCCCAGGAGCTCATGGAGCATCAGGGTTTCAGTTGGATTGGCAGTTCCCTTGTGGTTTTGAAGCCTACACAGGCATGGGCTTGAACGCAGCTCAGTTGTGTGACCTGGGGCAGGTTACTGAACCTCTCTGAGGCTCAGTTTTCTCATCTGGAAAATGAGACTAACAATGCTCACTTCACAGAGTATGAGAAAGTTAAATGGTATGTAGAATGTAAAACTCTTCAGACAGTACTTGGCACAAAGGGACTGCTCAGTCTGAGCCAGCAATTATGATGCTCAAAATCCTGCAGACACCGCCCACAGCCTCTGGCATCAAACTCAAGCCTCCTGACAAGGCTCCATGCACTGGACTTCCCCTGGTTCAGAGACACTGGCCTGTGTGTGGGTTCTCCCTCCTCCACCAGTGTTTCATGCTTCCATGCCTTTGCCCGAACTTCATTTCCCTTGTGATATCCTTTTCCCAAGCTGAATGCCCCTCTCTTCCTCACTTCTCTGGCACTTCTAACCTTTCTTTCTTTTCCTCCCTCCTTCCCTCCCTCCTTCCCTCCCTCCCTCCCTCCCTCCCTCCCTCCCTCCCTCCCTCCCTCCCTCCTTCCTTCCTTCCTTCCTTCCTTCCTTCCTTCCTTCCTTCCTTCCTTCCTTCCTTCCTTCCTTCTCTCTCTCTCTCTTTTTGAGACGGAGTCTCGCTCTGTCGCCCAGGCTGGAGTGCAGTGGCCGGATCTCAGCTCACTGCCAGCTCCGCCTCCCGGGTTCATGCCATTCTCCTGCCTCAGCCTCCTGAGTAGCTGGGACTACAGGTGACCGCCACCACGCCCGGCTAATTTTTTGTATTTTTAGTAGAGACGGGGTTTCACCATGTTAGCCAGGATGGTCTTGATCTCCTGACCTCGTGATCTGCCCGCCTCGGCCTCCCAAAGTGCTGGGATTACAGGCGTTAGCCACTGTGCCTGGCCTCTTTCTTTTTTTCTTTTTCTTTTTTTTTTTTTGAGATGGAGTCTCGCTCTATCGCCAGGCCAGAGTGCAGTGGCATGATCTTGGCTCACTGCAACCTCCATCTCCTGGGTTCAAGTGATTCTCCTGAGTAGCTGGGACTACAGGCGTGCATCGCCATGCCCAGCTAATTTTTTTTTTTTTTTGTATTTTTAGTAGAGATGAGGTTTCACCATGTTGGCCAGGATGGTCTTGATCTCTTGACCTTGTGATCCGCCCACCTCAGCCTCCCAAAGTGCTGGGATTACAGCCATGACCCACTGCACCCTGCCATGGTTTCCCAGTTTTCACAGGAAAACTCCCCAGGCAAAAAAAAAAAAAAAGAGAGAGAGAGCCAGCCATGGTGGTGTACACCTGTAATCCTGGCACTTTGGGAGACCAAGGCTGGAGGATCACTGGAGCCCAGGAGGTCAAGGCTGCAGTGAGCCATGATCGTGCCACTGGACTCCAGCCTAGGTGACAAGGTGAGACCCTGTCTCAAAAAACAAACCAAACAAACAAAAAGAAAGAAAGAACCCAAATAGTTCTTGAGCACCTACTATGTGCCAGGCACTGTTGACGTGCTGGGGATACTGCATGAACAAAAACAGACAAAAATTTCCTGTCTTTGTAGAGCAGACAGGCAACAAGTCAATCAATAAACAGAATCTCTTATGTCTTATAAATGCTATTAAAAAATAAATCAGAGCCGGGCGCGGTGCCTCATGCCTGCAATCCCAGCACTTTGGGAGGCTGAGGCAGGCGGATCACAAGGTCAGGAGATTGAGACTATCCTGGCTAACATGGTGATACCCTGTCTCTACTAAAAATACAAAAAAAAAAAAATTAGCCGGGCGAGGTGTCGGGTGCCTGTAGTCCTAGCTACTCAGGAGGCTGAGGCAGGAGAATGGCGGGAACCTAGGAGGCGGAGCTTGCAGTGAGCCGAGATCGGGCCACTGCACTCCACCCTGGGCGACAGAGTGAGACTCCGTCTCAAAAAAAGAAAAAGAGAAAATAAATCAGAGTAGAAGGAAGGAATTCTGAGGGTTGTGATAATAAGTAGGGTGGCAATGAGAGAAGGCTTTCTGAGCAGAGTTTGAAAGATGGTTACGGGCTGGGCACGGTGGTTCACGCCTGTAATCCCAGCACTTTGGGAGGCCGAGGCGGGCGGATCACAGGTCAAGAGATCGAGACCATCCTGGCCAACATGGTGAAACCCCGTCTTTACTAAAAATACAAAAAAAAAAAAAAAAAAAAAAAAAAAAAAATTAGCTGGGCGTGGTGGCGCATCCCAGCTACTCGGGAGGCTGAGGCAGGAGAATCGCTTGAACCTGGGAGGCAGAGGTTGCAGTGAGCCGAGATTGCGCCACTGCACTCCCACCTGGCGACAGAGCGAGGCTTCGTCTCAAAAAAAAAAATAAAATAACAACAACAAAAACAAACAAACGGGGAAACCTGCTAGACAAATTCTAAAAGACCTGTAACACTAATAAGTATTTGTTGAATGAATGAACTCCGTCAGAATGGGCTCACCACCATGCTACCTGGATCGGTTAGGGCAGTGGGATCTCTGGTGCTCCGGCTACCCCAGTGCTCAGCCCCGATAAACGCTAGCCTGTTAGCGCTAAGGAATGCCTGGGGGCGGGAGAGGAGGAGAGAAAACCAAACTGGGGGCGTGGCCCATGCAGGGCGTGGCTTTGCTGGTCGGGCCTTACCTGTGACCTGAGTGGGAGCGATCTCGACGGCGCTGCGGGAAGGAGGCAAGTCCGGCAGGAACCAGCGCATAGTCGGGGGCGAGGGACGGGAGATCAGCTCTGCGGGCGGCAGTGCACTCTGGTCAGAGACGACAGTGACTGAAGACTCCCTTTCCACTTCAGTCTTGGCCCGGCGCCCCACCCCAGCTTGATTGTCCCTGAGTACTTAAACTGCGAACTCCCCGCCCACCCAGTGATTTAGCCCTTGAGGACTCATCCCTATAGAGCCCAGCTCACCGGGGTAGGGCCGGGCAGGAGACGTGGTGGCAGTTGGGTGGCTCTGCTGCACTGACCGCTCCTCACTCACTGGCTGCGGGTGACAGCAGCATGAACCCTCCTGTCCCTCGCCTGCCCGCCCCTCCCATCTGGGTTCTCATACTCACTGAGTCCGTGGTCACCCCTAAAAGGGAAGAAGATGGGGCCATGAAGTGTTGGGGTGGGAGAAGGGAGTCAGATCTGGGATCAGCAGCTGAGTATTTGTAGTTAGGGTCTCTGGGAATTCAACAATTATGTCTCCAGGTCAAGGGTCAGGGGTTAGATTCTGTGGTTAGGGTGTGTTTGCATAATAGTCGCATAATCAGGTTGATGGGCCTTGGGTTACAGATCAGGCTGTAGAAGGCTTAGGAGGTCAAATCTCTGGGTCGGAGTCAGAGGGTCATGTGGGAGGTCAGTGGATGGGTGAGGGATAAGGAATTGGGGGTTAGACTGTGAGGTCAGATCTGTGGATCAGAGGTCAAGGGGTCAGGCCTAGGGGCTTGGCATGGGTCAGGGATCAGAAGGTGTCAGGCTAGACCTCTCTCCTCCTCTGTGTCCTCAGGTGGTGGAGCCTGGCTAGGGCTCTCCGGAAGCTGCTGGGGCTTGGGTGGCCCGTCAGGGTGCAGGAAAAGGGAAAAGTCGCTTTCGCCCTGAATGGTGAGCGTCTGGTGGGAGGTGAGAATGTGGTATCCCTTCCCAGCTGGGCAGATCTCCTTGAACGCAGCTGCAGTCAAGACAGCAGACACAAAAGTGAGCATTCCCTGAACAGGTGCATGGACCTATGAACCCCTAGCCCTGCGTAATCCTGACTCACCGGTGCCATCTGCCGGGCAGCGCTGACACCGCGCGCCCCAGGCCTTGCCGACACTGCAGCAGCAGAGCTGGCGGGTGAGGCGGGTGGTCAGTGGATGCTGGCACTGGTGCTCAGGGCTCACCAGGCGGAAACACAGGCTCTTCTCCTCCGGTTTGTCTGCTGCAGGGGGCAGTGGGGGGCATGGGCTTCTGAGCCTGCACATTGCCCACGTCCCTCTGCCCAGCTGCTGCAGACCTTGCCTCTCCAGCCCAGACAACCCTTGATCCCCATGTGGTCTCTGACCCCATATGACCCTGAACTCATGTGACCCCTGAAACTTATGTGACCACTGACCCCACTGACTCCCGATTCTAGCTATCCTGGACTTCACCACTCCTACTCACCAAGCCTATGATCTGCATGACCCTGGCTCTGTGTAATCCCTGACCCCATGTGACTGCTAATGGCAGATCTCATGTGACCCCAGACCCCACTGACCCCTGATCCTATTGGCTCTGGCCTTTGTTCCTCCTGCAGTCAACCCTTAACCCCACTCTGATCTCTTGTGATCTCTGATCCTTGCTCCCAGCCATGCCTTGTGACCTCCCAGGAATCTGAGCCCCAGTCTCACCAATGCACTGTGTACGGGAGGGGCCTAAACTATGGCCAGGTGGGCAGACACAGCGATAGGAGCCAGGGTTGTTGAGGCAGTCACCATGGCGACACACGCCCGGCATTGCACACTCGTTGATGTCTGTGGTAAGTGGAAGTTTGGCCCCTCTGGTCTGGGGCCATGGGGTGACAGCAGGCTGCTCCGAGAAACTCAGGGTCTTGCCCCAGCCCCGCCTCCTCTCTCACCCACCTTGGGACCCTCCCCACCCCCAGTAATGGTTGGCCTGCCCCTCCAGCCCACAGAATCTCCTAGCTGGCCATACCCTGGCAGTGGGTGCTATTGAGCCTCTTGTAGCCCTGGGGGCAGTCAGCGCCCACTTCCCCACGTACAGGCCCTGGCTTCTGCACTCCTGTGTCTGCAGAGAGACGATAGCTTGGCATGGGAGGGTGAGAAGGGAACTGGGGAGGCGCACAGCAGATGGAGAGCGGAATCTGGTGACCTGGGGACTCCCACTGCAGGGATGGGTGGGGTGGGTGGGGAGGGGCCACCAGATGGGGAACGCCCCTCTGAGCCCAAGCACTCACACTGCAGCTGGGGGCACTTGTGGCACTTGCTCTGGCCCCAGGCGGTGCCGATGCTACCGCAGCAGTCTTCCTGCTTGGTGAGGCCGGGGAGGGGGTTGCTGCCACACTAGGGGAAGGAGGGGGAGGGGAGGTGGGGTCACAGAGCACCCCACCCCCGCGCCGCCTGTTGGGGTTCGGTCTTTTCCTCTTCCCCTGCCCCTCAGTTTTCCGCTATCCGGGTGAGTTGGGGCAGAGCAACCCTGAGAGAAGGAAAGGCCGATCGAGACTGCGAATTCACTCACGGGCTGCTTGGGCAGAGTGTCCTGGAAGCAGCGGCCCAGGGGCTTCTGGGTGGGCGGCCGGGGATGCGAGGGCTTGGGGTGCGGCAGCAGGTGCTGGGAGGGGGCCGCACCCTCGGCGTTCGAGCTCTCAATGCGGTGCACTTGGACCGAGGCCTCGGGCGGGTGATGGACGCGCACGTTCACCACGGGGGGCGGGGCCTGCACTGGGGGCGGGCGCGGTGGCCTCAGGGCTGTCCGCACCACGCCGCGGGTCACCGCGCTGAGCTCTCCAGGGCCGACCTTGCCCTGCCCCGGCCACCCTAGTGCCCACCCACTGGCGACCTTCCCGGGTTTGCTAGTCGCCTGGTACCTTCTGCTGAGATCTGTCCCGGGCCTAGGGGCACCAGGAAGGCTGCGTGCTGGGCAGGGGGCCCCTCCCCGGGCCCAGGAGGGTCGGCGATCACCTGGACGGCGTAGATGGCGTGCTTGCTGGCCACAGAGTCGCCCTCCGGAGCCAGGGGCGGCAGCGCCCCCGTGGACAGGGCCCCCGCCCTGCTCAGGCCAGGACCTGAGCCACCGGTACCCCCGCCGGCTCCTCCTGCGGGCACCTGGCAGAAGCGCCCGGTGAAGTCTGGGGGACACAGGCACTGGTTTCGCGAGGAGCACTGGCCGCCGTTCATGCAGGGGAGAGGGCACACCACTGGGGAGAAGAGGGGGGTCAGGCCCTCATCCACATCCTGTCTCTTTCCGCTCCTCCCTACTTCCTTGCCACCCACTGGCTCTGTCCTCTTGGGAAGTCAGGTTTTGAGATACATCCTACACAGGGAAGCTGCCCTCTCTAGCTCCCCCCACATCCTTACACCCATGTTGGGTTCTGGAGTCTCAAGTCAAGGACTTGAATCCTCGCTAAGCCATGTGCCAGCTGTGCAACCCTGAGCAACTCACGTCTCCTCCCTGTGCCCCAGCGTCCTCATCTGTAGAGATGTGTGGGTTAGATGAGGTAAGGGCTGTACAAATGCTTACCCTAGGGCCTGGTACACAAAGGGTGCTTAATAAGTGGTGGCAAACAATTATGGTGATCTGGCTTTCCCCTTGGGCCTTCCAAAGGTATTGGCTCTGTCCCTGGCACCTCCTTCTCTTCTCCCCTAAACCCTTCCCTTCTTCAGGCCTCAGCCCTCTCTGCCTGCTCTCCACCCTCTCCCTCTTCACCATCCTGGGGCCCCCACCTCATCACTGGCAAAGATGTCCACATCTCAAGACACAGACACAGCCCCCAAACTTTCCAGGGCTCTCTCGGGCACCGCTGTCCAGGACATACTGTCAGAAGTCAGTATCCTGCCTCCCCACCTCCTCTTCACCTGGCCACCAGGCATCCACAGCTGAGCCCCCATGGCTCCATCCCTCCTGCTCTCCCCTGCCCAGTTACAGCCTCTAATGTCCCATGAACCTGCCTCCCCTCTTCCCTAGGGTCACTGCTCCTGCCCTGGCTCAGGCCTGGCCACCCAGACCCCTCCTTGGCATCCAGCCTCTCCTGCTGGTCCACAGTCTCAGTGTCCCAAAGAAACTTGCCTCAGGCAGAAGCTCACTCCATGGCCCAGAACCTTTTCAGCCCATCCCCCTCTGCTCCTTCCCTGTGCACCGCACACCCCAGGACCCATCTCCCTCTTACAAATGTGCCTGCCTCCTGCCTCCTGGCCTCATTCTTGCCCTTCCCTCCACAACAGGGCCCCATGTCCCCCGCTCTACATATGCAGATTTCATCCTTCCCAGCTCAGTGTCTCCACCAGGAGGGAGCCTTTCCTCCTATCCCGCCCACCTGAGCTCCCTCTCCTGCCTTACCGCCCACTGGCCAGCACTGCCTGGCACCTGCTTGTCTGTCTGCCTCCTTATAGAGGGTACTCTGGAAGGCAGGGCCAGGCTGGCCTCAGCTCTGGGTCCCACAGGGGATTTGGGGGAATGAATGAAGGAGTGACTAAGGGAGGGAGAGGATGGGACCTTTGTCTGTTTCTGTCCCATACTCACCTTCGACCCATGCTACTACCAGCCTTGGGACTCTGACTCATCCCAAAACCCCAGCCCCTCTCCTGCCCACCCCATGGCTGCCCTCACTTCCCAGGGCAGGAGGGCAGGAGGGCGGGGGTACTGTTCTCCTGGATGCCAGAAGGGCCTCACAGGGACAGCCCACATCCATGGCCCTCAGGGTCAGGCTAAGCACATCCCAGCCCAGCCCATCCTGCCTGGCCTCCTGGGGCCAGACCTCACAGAGCAGAGGGGTGTGTCTGGGCTGGGGGAGGTAGGATTCTCTTTTTCCTGTCTCCCAGTGAGTCACTCATAGCGGTGAGAGTGACCTCCCAATGACACCCGCCCACTGTGGCCTGGGCACCGAGCCTGGGGGATGTGGGCAGCACAGATGGAGACAGCAGCCTGGGCAGGATGGCCAGGGAGCCTGGGAGATGGACACACATACACTCACACCCACAGTCCTCATCGCACACACAGACTCATCCTGACACTAACACAGGTTCACATAAACATCCCCATACACTTGGCCGGGCGCAGTGGCTCACGCCTGTAATCCCAGCACTTTGGGAGGCCGAGACAGGTAGATCACTTGAGAACAGGAGTTTGAGACCAGGCTGACCAACATGGTGAAACTCCATCTCTACTAAATACAAAAAATTGGCCGGGCGTGGTGGTGCATGCCTGTAATCCCAGCTACTTGGGAGGCTGAGGCAGGAGAATCACTTGAACTCGGGAGGTGGAGGTTGCAGTGAGCCAAGATTGCACCATTGCACTCTAGCCTGGGCAACAAGAGCGAAACTCCATCTTAAAAACACAAAAACAAAAACACTCCCACACACTCTCTAACAGCGACTAGAGATACAACCCAAGACAACACAAAGATGGGTACTTCACAGAGTGCCACGCCATGCCCATGGCATGACTCCAGACACGGGCAATATGCACACAGACACATGCGTGCACACCTCATCTCATGACAAATGTGAGCCACGAGTGGGGTTCCTTAGCTCTGTGAGTGGGCGAGTGAATATAGGAATGTGTAAGAGGGGCTGTTTTGCTGGTGCCATCATGGGCCTGGCCTAATTACCCTGTCCAGGAGGGTAATTACTGCTGGGACACCTCCCTGAGCCTGGCCCACAGGGCCTAGCAGGAGGATGACTGAGCCCCAGGCCTGACCCTTTGAAGAGAGATGCCAGGGAAGGGGTGGGCTCCAAACTGAACTGGGGAGGTTGTAGGGGCTTGGGGGAGGATGAGGGGGCCCCCGAGGGCCTCCAAGGCAGGATGTCAGGAGCTTATGGGGAGGCATTGGAAAAGGAAAGGCTGAGAACCCCAAACTAGTCCCTACCTTCAGGCCTGCACTCTACTTTTAGGCCCCAACACCCTGCCTTCTCAGACTTTGCCAGTAACCAGCTCCCATCCCCAGCCCTGACCTTAGCTCCTCCTCCCAAGGAATGCAGGTGTCTACTCTGGCAGGCCCTACTTTAGACATTTTGTAAAGACTTTTCTTGTTTCTTCCAGCAAGTCTGCTTCTTGGGGGAATATTTATCCCTTCTCTGAGGCTTCCAGTCCCCGGCTCACATTCCTCAAAAACCCTGTGTGCTCCTGTTCAGAACTCAGCACCTTCTGGGAAGCCAGTGTCATCCAGGACCTCTGCATTTCCCCACCCCTTAGGCCCCAAACCTAATGCGAAGCTTCAAAGTCCAGGCCTCCATGCAGCCCTCCAACTCTGGCCCCCAGAGTTCCAGCCTCCCAAGTTCTCTGAGGCCCCTGGGCCCCCAGGTGCCCGGATCTCTGCCCTTTAAACCCTCAGCCCCCAGTCTCTTAAGGCCAAGACCCCACTAGCTCTCCCATCGAGCCTGGTGCCTGTTCTTCCCCTGCCCCCAGTCGTGCCCCCGGCCCTCACCCACGCGGAAGCCGGAGCCCGTGAGCGTGTCTGTGCTGTGGCCGTTCTCTCCGATGAGCGTCATGTTGGAGCCCTGCTGACAACTGTCCCGACACTGGCCCTTGAGACAGGTCCGCTTGCAGATCACCGGCGCAAAGACCACCTTGAAGCGCTCGCGGGCCAGCGCCCCGCCCCCGCCTGCGCCCCGCTCGCCGGCCGGCCCCCCCTCGACCCTGCCGCCCAGGCCCAGCAGCAGCAGCAGCGCCAGCAGCCCCGCCGCCCCCGCCCCGCGCATCTCAGGGGCCAGGCCGCCAGGAGCCCCTCGGGGCCCGGGCATCCGGGGCCGCAGGACCCGGGGGAGGGGGGGCGCACCCGGGCGGGGCGAGGGGCCCGCGCCCGAAGGAGTTAGAGGGCTGGGAGCCCCGGGAGAGGGTAGGGGGCAGCGAGGGAGGGCAGCGGAGGAAGCGGGCAGGAGGGGACCGCGGGGGCCCGGCGGGAGGCGCGGAGATGGAGACTGGACCGCGGGGAGCGCAGAAACTTCCTAGCCCCGGGACGAAGCCTAGCCCAGGCCCCGAACTCAGGCAGGAGCGAGGAGGCCGGAGCAAGTTGAGGTGGAGAGGAGGAGCGAGGGAGAGGAAGGCCGGGCGGCCGGCCCGCTCCGCGCCTCCCCCTGGCCGGGCTCCTCTCCCGCGGCCGCCGGGAGGCAGGGAGCGCGCGGGGAGGGCGCAGGGAGAAGTGAGCAGTTGTTTTCCCTGGCTGGAGAGCTGCGCGGCGGCGGCGAGGGGGGCTGGGACGCTGGCCCCGGGCCAGGGACACAGTTTTTTTTTTTTTGTTTAAAGCGTAGTCGCTGCCTCCTGGAGAAGCGAGGGTGTGCAGGCGGGCGGAGGCTGGGGGGCGGGGCGGGGACCGTCCCCACCCCAGATGCCCGCCCCCGCCGGAACCCGCGGCCGCGCTGGGCCCTTTCCAGAGGGCCCTCACCTGGGACTGTCGGGCCGGCAGCGGATTCCTCCGGGCGGGGCGGGGAGGCCTGTGTAGGGCGAGATACCGTGCCTGAGGGAGAGAGGTGGCCCTGCCGGGTCACACTGACGATGGAGGCCGGGTGGGGCCGGAGCCCAGGCCTTCCAGCTCTTTCCCAGCCTCCCTTGCAAACGTCGGGGTCTCAGGGCCCCAAAGTCACTTCTTATTAGTGCTGATCCAATCCCCTCTGAGGAAAGGGCTCAAGGGTGGGGACAGCCTTTGGCCAGGGCTCACGGAGGTCCCAGGAAGAAGTCTGTGGGGTCCAGAAGAGGAGCAGAAAGAACAAAGCTAGAACCCAGCTTCCCTGCCAGCCCCCTCTGAATGGCTTCCTGGTGCCCACCCTGCCACCTCCCCCCTTTCCCTTCGTCTGGCTGTGCTGGCGGGGCTGGCTCTGGGCCTCAGACACTCTGGAATCGCCAAGGTCTGAGCTCAGGGCCTGGCCCCCTTCCCAGGCTAACAGCCGCGAGGAGGGGGGCGCTGTTCGAGGGCGCAGGGGCTGGAGAGGCGCACAGCAGAGCCCCAGGGCAGAGGCTGGCAGCGGCTGGGGGTGGGGGTCTTGAGTTTGGCCATGGCTGGAGAGGAGCATAGTTCCAGACCAGGCTTGTCCACTGGTCTGGAAGGAAAGGCTGCAAGGTCTGGGGGCCCAGGCCTTACTGTGGGGCCTGCCATGAGACCCCAGGGTTCAGTCTCTGACTCACAGAACTCAGCAGGAGGCGGGGACAGCTAGGGCACATCCAGGAAGAGCGCTGCCAATGCCAAGTCAGGGCGGCACCGGACCCTCTCCCGGACAGCACCCAGGGCAGCAGGGGGCAGCAGTCTAATTGGGGAGAGGAGGTTCAGGGACTCACTTTCAGGCACACCTGTCCAAGGAACTCTGTTTTTACTGTGAGCATAAGTCGATGTGGGTAGCTTCAGGAGGACCCTTAGTAAGTCCAGTCTGGTGGTGCAGGGCTGGGAGGGGAAATCACAGGTCCCCAGGGATCCCTGCTGCCGGAATCCAGGAGGGGGTGTGAGGGGCAAGCCCCTGCTTCTTGGGGCCCTGGTCCACACTGAAGCAGGGAATAATGCTAGGTGCTGACCACCTGCCAGGCACAGAGCTGAGCATTGAATACTCATTTTTTCCTAACACTCATCTGAATCTGTCCCGACCCTGCCTAGAGCTGGCTGTGGCTCACTGTGGAGCACAGCACAGCCAAACAGTCCAGGGTTGGATTCTTACTGTCTCTAAGCCTCAGTTTCGTTGCTTGTGAGATGGGGATCTGTTCATTCAACATCTATGTTCAACTACTGGTAATAAAAAATTAAAAAATAGGCCGGGCGCGGTGGCTCAAGCCTGTAATCCCAGCACTTTGGGAGGCCGAGACGGGCGGATCACTAGGTCGGGAGATGGAGACCATCCTGGCGAACACGGTGAAACCCCGTCTCTACTAAAAAATACAAAAAACTAGCCGGGCGAGGCGGCGGGCGCCTGTAGTCCCAGCTACTCGGGAGGCTGAGGCAGGAGAATGGCGTAAACCCGGGGGGCGGAGCTTGCAGTGAGCTGAGATCCGGCCACTGCACTCCAGCCCGGGCGACAGAGCCAGACTCCGTCTCAAAAAAAAAAAAAAAAAAAAAATTAAAAAATAAATGTAAAAAATTCACTCAACAAACTGAGACTCCACCACGTCCTAAGCTCTTGGCCACAAATAGAACCAGTCCTGCCCTAGAACCAGTCCTGCCCTCCTGGAGCTGCTGTACTAGGGGAACTGGATATGTGCCAAATCAATTCACACAGCACTGTGGCTACAACAGAGGCTGGTACCGTGACAGAGAAGAGCAGAGAAGCAGGACAGGAGAGGGCTGGGACCTGGAAGACGAAGGGACTCTTCCACTGGAAGCTGGAAGATGAGTAGGAGTGAGTCACACCTGTGGGCATCTGACCTCAGGGAAGGCTGCAGGGGGAGCCTATTCAGAGAACTGAGAAAAGGCCAGTGAACAACAGGAGGTGGTGGAGAGGGAGAGCTGAAGGTGGTAGTGGTGGTGGGAGGGGCCAGCCGTGGTGAGGAATTTGCTTTTTTTTTTGAGACGGAGTCTCGCTCTGTCGCCCAGGCTGGAGTGCAGTGGCCGGATCCCAGCTCACTGCAAGCTCCGCCTCCCGGGTTCACGCCATTCTCCTGCCTCAGCCTCCGGAGTAGCTGGGACTACAGGCGCCCGCCACCTCGCCCGGCAAGTTTTTTGTATTTTTTTAGTAGAGACGGGGTTTCACCGTGTTAGCCAGGATGGTCTCCATCTCCCGACCTCGTGATCCGCCCGTCTCGGCCTCCCAAAGTGCTGGGCTTGAGCCACCGCGCCTGGCCAGGAATTTGCTTTTATTTTCACTGCAGTGGGACTGTGTCAGGGCAAGAACGAGCACCCTGCCTTCATCCCAGGAGAGAGATCTCACTTGGCCCCAGGAGAGATGTATTTGGGAGGGGAGATGTAAAGACTGTGTGAAGTGGGGCTGCTGGAGAGGCAGGTGGCACGAATGGTCCCCAGAATCCTGGTCTGATCCCTGGATGGGCAAAGAAGAGGGGAGGCAGAGAAGCTGGAAACACGGGGCAGGGTCCACAGCTCTGTTCTGGCCCTGCTGAATTTGAGATGCTTGTGAGTCATCCAAGTGGAGGCGCCCAAAACAGGGAGCCTGCAGCTCAGACAGGACATCTGACCTGGAGACAGAGGCCTGGGGTTATACAGGGGTGTCTACGACAGTGGGAAAGGGTGGGCTTACTATGGAGAGAAGAGGGCCCAGGGTGCCCCAGGGAGGTCACCATTCCCAGGTCAGGGAGAGGAGGCGGAGTCAGGCAAAAGACCAGAAAGAGCAGCTGGAGGGAGCAGAGAGGACAACCAGGAGTGTGGTGGGGAAGAGCCAGGAGGAGGGTGTGGCCCTCGTGTCTAAAGCTGCTGCCAGTAGGATGAGGGGATGACAGCCTTTCTTCAGGGGCTGATGAGGGGACTCAGTGAGAAGGAGCAATGAAAGTGTCCAGCCCAGTAATGATGCCCAACTCAAATGATACCCAACCAAATTCCTTCAGCTCTCAGGGCCTCCGCAGGAAATAGCTGAAACCACTGGGGCTAGCAACAGAGGGACATCACTCCAGTGCACATTGCTCCATTGGCATAACCAGGGAGGGCTGCCTGAGAGGTATGGCCTGAAGCAAAGCAGCAGCCCCTGGCCTCCTGCAGCCTGCAGGGAGGGTGCTGGGGAAAAAAATATCATCCTAATCTCCTCCTGGTCATGGGTCTCCAGCTGGGCCTCCTGTGGGCTGAACCCAGAAGAAAGCCTATGGACTGAGGGGCCTGGGGGTGCAGCAGGTGGAGCTTAGCTTCCTGGCACAGCAGGGAGGTCAGGAATGCAGACGGAGTCTGCAGGGCAAGCTGACAAAGCCCAATACACATGGTCTCTTTGGCCTGAACATCTTTTCTAACCTCATCACCACATGTGGCACCTCATTTGCCTAGAATCTGCCAGCACACCTTTTTTTTTTTTTTTTTTTTTTTTGAGACAGGGTCTCACTCCATGCCAGGGCTGGAGTGCAGCGGCATGATCTTGGCTCACTGCAGCCTCAACATCCCAGACTCAAGGGATCCTCCCACCTAAACCCACTCCCTCCCACCCCCACCTCAGCAGGTGGAACTATAGGTGCACAACCAAGCTTCACTAATGTTAGGGTTTTTTGTTTTTTGGTTTTTTTGATTTTTTTTGGAGACAAGCTCTTGCTCTGCTGGAGTGCAGTGGTACGATCTCGGCTCCACTCTGCAGCCTCCATCTCCCGGGTTCAAGCAATTCTCATGCCTCAGCATCCCCAATTAGCTGGGACTACAGCGTCATGCCACCATACCTGTGTTTTTCCCGTACTCCACAAAATCTGAAGCATTCTTCTTTGTGGATTTGTTGACTTGCTTATTGTTCATCTTGCCACCCTCTGAGGGAGGGACAACCTTGTTTCCAGATCTCAGAACAAGGCTTGGCACAGAGAGGGTGCTGAAGTTTGTTGATTGACTACACAGAGAGGCCACGAGAGTGCCTGCCATCTACCATGCACTCTACACTGTGGGGCCACATCCTCCTCCCAGCGACCCTGCAAAGGGGAAACCAAGGCTCTGAAGATGAAACAACTAGACTAGGCCGGGTGCGGTGGCTCCCGCCTGTAATCCTAGCACTTTGGGAGGCTAAGGCAGGCGGATCACGAGATCAGGAGATCGAGACCATCCTGGCTAATACGGTGAAACTCCGTCTCTACTACTGAAAACAAAAAAACAAAAAAAGTAGCCGGGCATGGTGGTGGGCACCTGTAGTCCCAGCTACTTGTGAGGCTGAGGCTAGAGAATGGCTTGAACCCAGGAGGCGGGGCTAACAGTGAGCCGAAATAGCACCACTGAACTCCAGCCTGGGCGACAGAGCGAGACTCTGTGTCAAAAAACAAAAACAAGAAAGCAAACAAAAAGCAACTAGACTCAGGTCACCTGGTGATTGAACTGAAGCCTGCCTGATCCAGAACCTATATATACAATGATCCTGGGGAGAGGAATGGGAGGTGTCCCGAAGGCATCAGGAGACCTGACATTTGTTCACAAATGTCCTGAAGATAGGTGGGTAGGACCCTGAGGGCAACGAGGGGCTTTGCTGGAATGGGACAAGGAGGAGCCATGGGACCCAGGCCCAGGGAATGTTCAGGCTGCTCAAATGTTCTTGAGGTTCTTGGGTTTTTGAAGCCCAGAGAAGAAATGGGACTTGACTGAGGTTGCACAACCAGCCATTAGCAGAGCCAGAACCTGAACTCAGGGCTCCTGATGCCGTGCTAAGGGATTGGCTGGACAGGGTGACAGCAGCTGCATGATGAAAGTTCTGTCTCAGGAGGCAGCATCGCAGTGGTTGTTTTCTAGCATGAGATCATACTGGCTGTGTCATGCATCAGCTAAGTGAACTGGGAAAATCCTTCAACTTCTCTATGCCTCAGTCCTCGACCCCCTACCCCTCCTTTTTTTTTTTTTTTTTTAGAGACAGTCTCTCTATATTGCCCAGTCAATATAGAGTCAAACTCTTGGCCTCAAGTAATCCTCCCCATTCAGCCTTCTGAGTAGCTGAGATTACAGGCACATGACCCTGCACCTGGCTTTCCTCATTTTTAAACAGGGAATGAGGCCAGTCTCGTGGCTCAGGCCTGTAATCCCAGCACTTGGGAGACCGAGGCGAGCAGATTCCTTGAGGCCAGGAGTTCCAGACCGGCCTGGCCAACATGGTGAAACCCTGTCTCTGCTAAAAATACAAAAAGTTAGCCAGGTGTGGTGGCGCATGCCTGTATTCCAGCTACTTGGGAGGCTGAGGCATGAGAATCGCTTGAACCCAGGAGACAGAGGCTGCAGTGAGCCGAGATGGCACCACTGCACTCCAGCCTGGGTGATAGAGTGGGGCTCTGTCTCAAAAAATAAAAGTAAAAAAATAAAAAAAGGCCGGGCGTGGTGGCTCAAGCCTGTAATCCCAGCACTTTGGGAGGCCGAGGCGGGTGGATCACGAGGTCAGGAGATCGAGACCATCCTGGCTAACATGATGAAACCCCGTCTCTACTAAAAATACAAAAAACTAGCCGGGCGTGGTGGCGGGCGCCTGTAGTCCCAGCTACTCGGAGGCTGAGGCGGGAGAATGGCGTGAACCCGGGAGGTGGAGCTTGCAGTGAGCCGATATCGTGCCACTGCACTCCAGCCTGGGCGACAGAGCGAGACTCCGTCTCAAAAAAAAAAAAATAAATAAATAAAAATAAATAATAATAATAATAAAAAAAATTGGCCGGGCACAGCGGCTCACGCCTGTAATCCTAGCACTTTGGGAGGCCGAGGCGGATGGATCACGAGGTCAGGAGATTGAGACCATCCTGACCAACATTAAAAATGCAAAAATTAGCCGTACGTGGTGGCGCACGCCTTAGTCCTCAGGAGGCTGAGGCAGGAGAATCTCTTTTTTTTTTTTTTTTTTGAGACGGAGTCTCACGCTGTTGCCCAGGCTGGAGTGCAGTGGCGCGATCTCGGCTCACTGCAAGCTCCGCCTCCTGGGTTCACGCCATTCTCCTGCCTCAGCCTCCTGAGTAGCTAGGACTACAGGCGCCCGCCACCGCGCCCGGCTAATTTTTTGTATTTTTTTTTAGTAGAGACGTGGTTTCACTGTGGTCTCGATCTCCTGACCTTGTGATCCGCCCGCCTCAGCCTCCCAAAGTGCTGGGATTACAGGCTTGAGCCACCGCGCCCGGCCAGGAGAATCTCTTGAACCTGGGAGGCAGAGGTTGCAGTGAGCCAAGATTGCGCCACTGCACTCCAGCCTGGTGACAGAGCAAGACGCCTTCTCAAAAAAAATAAAAATAAAAATAAAAAAATAACAGATTAACAGGGAAGTCGGGGCGTGGTGGCTCACACTTATAATCCCAGCACTTTGGGAGGCCAAGGCGAGTGGATCACTTGAGGTCAGGAGTTCGAGACCAGCCTGGCCAACATGGTGAAACTCCATCTGCCATAAATACAAAAATTAGCCAGACGTGGTGGTACATGCCTGTAATCCCAGCTACTGAGGAGGTAGAGGTTGCAGTGAGCCAAGATTGTGCCACTGCACTCCAACCTGGGCGATAGAACGAGACTCTCTCTCAAAAATAAAAATAAAAATAAGCAGGGAATCAGTGGGCTGATATTTATGAGGCCCTTAGCAGATGCCTGCCACACAGTAAGCACTCAGGATATGTGAGACCTTTTCATCATTGTCTGCATCTGCAAGCCAAGATGGGCAGGGTGGCAAGAGATGGGCTGCTGCTGGGGAGGAGGAAAGCTACTGTGCCATGAGGGCTGTGTATCAGGTGCTGTGCCGCCTCTACGTGTTGTCCTTCTGAGTTCTGCATGTCTTTGGGAAGAAAGAAATGGCTCTTGGGGAGGGGGTGGGTGGGTAGAAGGCAAGGGGACCACACTCATCAGTTTTATTTTTTTCTGAGACAGAGTCTCACTCTGTTGCCAGGCTGGAGTGCAATGGCACAATCTCAGCTCACTGCAACCTCCACTTCCTGGGTTCAAGCGACTCTTGTGCCTCGGCCTCCTGAGTAGCTAGGATTATAGGCAGCCACCATCACCACTCCCAGCTAATTTTTGTATTTTTAGTAGATATGGGGTTTCAGCATATTGGTCAGGCTGATCTCGAACTCCTGGCCTCAGGTGATCTGCCTGCCTTGTCCTCCCAAAGTGTGGGATTACAGACATGAACCACTGCGCCCAGCCTGATCATCAGTTTTGAAGATGAGGGATGGAAGTGATGAAGGCCTGGAGGGGGCAATGTTGCCCTAATGCATCTCTCTCCAAAGACACTTTACTGAAAGTGGCTGTTATTAAACCCCTCTGATGTGCCACTTACTGTGAGTAGTAAAACGATGGACACCGAGAGTTGGGATTGGAAATGAAATGAAACTATCTTCACACTTGATAAATAGGGTGCTCTTCTGCCCTGCCACTCTTCCCTGCTTTTTGAGCACAGGAGAAATCTACTGGTAAGAGCTCAGGCTCAAGAGGTACACTGGCTGCCACCTGCCACTCCCAACTGGGTGACTGTGAATACATCTTACTACTCCAGGCCTCAGCCTCCTCATTTGCAAATTGGGAATGATAGTAAGACCCAGCTGCCAGTGTTGTCCTAAGGAATAAGTGAAATACTTCATACATAGCTCCTAACAGTGCCTGGCCCAAAGAAAATACACACACCAAGTTGAGTGTGATTATTTTTATTGCTGTATCATCCAGCCACTTCCTGTTTCACAGACATGTCAAGGTGATTCACATTGCAGTGAAAACCAAAAAAAAAAAAAATGAATAGCTGACCCCTTTTCTGTGCCTGTGTGAATATACAAATGATGTGAGTTATGTTTTTCAGAGGCACAGCAATGTGGCATAGGCAACTTGTTGCCATGTAAACCATCCCCACAAAATCAGCCAGCCCAGGGAGAGCTGTAATTGAGCTGTGTGTGACTGAGCTGCCGTGGTGTGCACTATCACCCAGAAAAGAGCCTAACTACAGCCGTGTCATCAGTGCCACAAGGAGGGACCAATTTGGACTGGCTCACATGAAGGTGTGATTCCCTTCCCCCTTCCCGTCCCCTCCCGCTCCTCCTTTCCCTCCTTTCCCTCCCCTGACTGCATGCTCTGTTGCCCAGGCTGGAGTGCAGTGGCAGGATCTCTACTCACTGCAACCTCTGCCTCCTGGTTCAAGCGATTCTCCTGTCTCAGCCTCACAAGTAGCTGGAACTACAGGCTCGCACCACCATGCCCAGCTAGTTTTTGTATTTTTAGTAGAGATGGGGTTTCACCATGTTGGCCAGGCTGGTCTCAAACTCCTGACCTCAAGTGATCTGCTCATCTTGACCTCCCAAAGTGCTAGGATTACAGTTGTGAGCCACCATCCCTGGCCGAAGGTGTGGTACATTCTGTTGGCAAGGGAAGGGTGTGAAAGAGTCCAAGCCCACTGCTCCATAGACACTGGCCTGTCCACTGTGACTGTTGCGAATAGGTTTTACCACCAACACCTGTAAGCACCTTCTATGTCAAGGACTATGAAGCATCTGAGATCTTATCCAATTTGCAAGCTGCCAAGGTAGCCCATCAGGTTCAAGGATGCTGGCAAAATACAAGAGAGTCCTGGGTCAGAGACAAAGGACTTTATCACTGTGCAGCAAACAGCACGAGCACCAGCATATTTCCGTCAGTTCCTTTTAACCCTAAGTCCCATGGGGGTGATGCTGATGGGCTCAGGTTAGTGCGGACATACAGAGTGAACTGCATTGTGGGAGAGGACCCTAAGCTTAGGAAACTCAAAGCCAGTAAGCATGGTTGTCCTTTGCTCTGGAGGGAGACACCAACTCCATCTTCCATGGCTGTTCCCTGGATAAACATCTTTGAAGCTGGGCGCAGTGGCTCACGCCTGTAATCCTACCACTTTGGGAGGCTGAGGTGGGCAGATCACCTGAAGTCGGGAGCTTGAGATCAGTCTGGCCAACATGGTGAAACCCCGTCTCTGCTACTGCTATGGCTACTGCTACTAAATTAAAAAATTCGCCGGGCACAGTGGCTCACGCCTGTAATCCCAACACTTTGGGAGGCCAAGACGGGCAGCTCACGAGGTCAGGAGATCGAGACCATCCTGGCTAACATGGTAAAACCCTGTCTCTACTAAACATGCAAAAAAAAATTAGCTGGACAGCCAGGTGTGGTGGCTCACGCCTGTAATCCCAGCACTTTGGGAGGCCGAGGCAGGTGGATCACAAGGTCAGGAGATCGAGACCATTCTGGCTAACACAGTGAAACCTTGTCTCTACTAAAAATACAAAAAATTAGCTAGGCATGGTGGTAGGCGACTGTAGTCCCAGCTACTCGGGAGGCTGAGGCAGGAGAATGTTGTGAACCCAGGAGGTGGAGCTTGCAGTGAGTCGAGATTGCACCACTGCACTCCAGCCTGGATGACAGAGTGAGACTCCATTTCAAAAAGAAAGAAAGAAAGAAAAAAAGTAGCCAGGTGTGGTGGTGCATGCCTGTAATCCTACTCAGGTGGGTGAGGCACAAGAAATCGCTTAAACCTGGAAGGTAGAGGTGGCAGTGAGCCAAGATCACACCACTTCACTCCAGGTTGGGTGACAGAGCGAGACTCCATCTCAAAAAACAAACAAGCACCAAACAGGCATAAGTGGCCCCATTTTTGTTTTGAGTCAGGGTCTTGCTCTATCACCCAAGTTGCAGTGCAGAAGCCTGATCATGGCTCACTGCAGCCTGGATCTCCTGGGCTGGGAGCAATCCTCCTACTCAGCCTCCTGAGTAGCTGGGACTACAAGTGCATGCCACTGCACCCGCTAAGTAAAATATATATATATTTTTTAGAGATGGGGTCTTACTATGCTGTCCAGGCTGGTCTCAAGCAATCCTCTTACATGTCCTCCCAGAGTGCTGGGATTATAGGCCTGAGCCACCGTACCTGGTCTACTGTCCCTGTTTTACAGATGAGAAATTGAAGTCCAGAGTGATGAAGTAAATTACTCCAGGTGATATAGTAAATAGCGGATCCAGGATCAAACCTAGTCCTGCCTCATTCCAGTTCTGTGTCTTGTCTACCCTACAGTGGAACTTAAGATGGTGAGGAGCCCTGAGAGGAGAAAAGTGGCAAGAATCTTCTTGAGCAGTGAGAGAAGAGGGATGCAGGGAGGATGGGAGATGGGTGTGCATCTCTGTACGTGTTGTCTGGATGTGGGGGGCCAAGGCCAGATTTGTAGGACCCTGGAGACCATAACAAGGACTTTGGATTTTGTCTAAGTATGATGGGGAGATGCCAGATTTTTTTTTTTTTTTTTGAGACAGAGTCTCACTCTGTTGCCCAGGCTGGAGTGTAGTCGTGTGCTCTCGGCTCACTTCTGCCTCCTGGTTCAAGCAATTCTCCTGCCTCAGCCTCCCAAGTAGCTGGGATTACAGGCGCCCGCCACCACACCTGGCTAATTTTTGTATTTTTAGTAGAGATGGGGTTTCACTATGTTGGCCAGGCTGGTCTCGAACTCCTGAACTCAAGTGAGCTGCCTGCCTCGGCCTCCAAAGTGCTGGGGTTACAGGCGTGAGCCACCATTCCCAGCAACCAGATGGTTTTTAGTACAAGAATGACACTGTATTTTAAAAGAATTATTCAGTTTCCTGCTTATATGGGGATAATACCCCATATAAGGTTATCATGAGGAGTAAATTGGAGAGATTAAGTGAGAGGACTCATATAAGGGTCTTTGTAGGTGCGAGGCAGAATAGACAGTTGAGTGGTTATCGGCCATAATGGTGACATAGTCGGCGCACTGAGGAATTCAGGGTAGGGCTGGGAGCTGGAGACAGTAATAACCTGGGGGTCTATGCGTCCAAGAGATGGTATAGAGATAGTTCCTCTAGTCAGCCTAAGGCTGGGTGCACTTCACTGTAATCCCAGCACTTTGGGAGGCTGAGGTGGGAGGATCAGTTGAGTCCAGGACTTGGAGACCAGCGAAACCCAATTGCTACAAAAAATACAAACAAAACAAACACACAAAAAACGGTGGCTCTAGTGCCTGATAGAAACGACTTGGGGTACAGGCCCTAAGTCAGGTACGCTGCTGCCCAAGAGCCTGACTGGTAGATGGAGATGCGAAAGGGGCACAGGGCTCTCTAGGTAAGCAGGAGGCAGCAAGAATGACAGTTCCAGGGGTTTTACGTGGAAGGAAGAGGAGGCCAGGAGGAGGGGACTTCAGGTCAGATTGAGGAGGCATGTGCCATCCGGAGGAGGAGACTGTCGATGTAATTATGAAAGTCCAAGTCCTGGCCGGGCGCGGTGGCTCAAGCCTGTAATCCCAGCACTTTGGGAGGCCGAGGCGGGTGGATCACGAGGTCAGGAGATCGAGACTATCCTGGCTAACATGGTGAAACCCCGTCTCTACTAAAAATACAAAAAACTAGCCGGGCGTGGTGGCGGGCGCCTGTAGTCTCAGCTACTTGGGAGGCTGAGGCGGGAGAATGGCGTGAACCCGGGAGGCGGAGCTTGCAGTGAGCCGAGATCACGCCACTGCACTCCAGCCTGGGAGACACAGCGAGACTCCGTCTCAAAAAAAAAAAAAAAAAAAGAAAGTCCAAGTCCTAGCTGCTTTTCCATTGCCCTGGTGTACAACCTCAGGCCCTGCAGACTGCACATCTGAGGACCCCTGCCTGCCCTGTCTGGCTTCTCTGAATCTAATAAGGGAGAGGATGCATACGGAAAAAGAACACGGAACAGAGAGAGAGAGAGAAAAAAAAAGCACCAAGGTCCAAGTTCAGAGAGCCCTGGTAATTTTAACTTGCAACTCACCTAAGAAGAGCCTAACGGTCGCAAGAGTATGTAGGAAGGACCCAACCCGACCCTGCCCAGTACGCAGCACCCAAGGGCGGCTGGAAGCGCAATGCGCGTGCTGAGTACAGCGCTATTCAGTCCGCAGGCTTTTTGAGGATTTCAATTTCAAAGAACGGTCGGTTTCGGGGCGGACTTTGCTTCAGTCCCAGGCCATGGGAAGCAGCGGGGTGACAGACTGGGACACCAAGCATGCAGAAGGGGAGGGGTCTTGAAATAGACGGAATGCGAGAAGGCTCCCCTCCTGGCCAGCCTTGCTGGGCGAAGTGAGAAGCACTGAGGCCTGAGGAAGCTCCACGAATGCGCAAAGGGCCGCTCGCTGTGATTACTCGGGTGGCGATGTTCGTGATGATGCCGCTGCCCCGCCTGCGCCGAAAGGGAAACCCCAGGGGAGGCGGAGGCCAGCGGGGATTTCTCAAGCCAGCTGGTCCCCTTCATCCACGACGGAAAGGAAGGGCGACCTCCCGAGGCCACTTTCAGGTCTTGCGACCGGAGCAGAGCTACCACGGAGACGCTCCTCCCGAGGCCTCACGCGTCGGAAGGTTCACGTCCCCTGGATTCCGGCTGACTGACGCGTCCCCTGGGCAGGTTCTCGGTAGCAGCCGACACGCCCCACTCCGGGCACAGCGAGATCTGAGGACCACGCTGAGGCGTCATTTCCGCCCTGAATCTTGGGTGCTACAGAAGGGGCGGAGCCGCAGCGGAGGGCGCGCCGCTTTGACGTCACTTCCGGTGAGCCCGGCAGCGACAACGGCAACATGGCCCTCAACGGAGCCGGTGAGGACTTGGGCGGCAGGGGCTTGTGGCTGTGAGGTACGGGAGGCAGCCCGCTCCGGCAAGACCCCCAGTCCCTATGCTTCTCTTCCCCAGAAGTCGACGACTTCTCCTGGGAGCCCCCGACTGAGGCGGAGACGAAGGTGCTGCAGGCGCGACGGGAGCGGCAAGATCGCATCTCCCGGCTCATGGGCGACTATCTGCTGCGCGGTTACCGCATGCTGGGCGAGACGTGCGCGGACTGCGGGGTGAGGCGAGACTCGGGCGAGTCAGCAGGGATGGGTCTGCGGGTCGGGCCACTCAGCCCTTCCTCAGTCCTCCCCTCTGGACTCCATCGCCGGCGTCTCATTCCGGCCCCATGTTCTTTTTGGTCCGTAGACGATTCTCCTCCAAGACAAACAGCGGAAAATCTACTGCGTGGCTTGTCAGGAACTCGACTCAGACGTGGATAAAGATAATCCCGGTGAGGGTAAAAAATAATCCGGGAGAGGGGCCGGATGTGCTTAGGGGGGAAGCGTGGTAAGTGGTGATAGAGGCCCGAGAACAGTAGGCCTGGGGGGCGACAGTGGAGTCTCTGGGTGGGGCAGAGGTAAAATGATTTCTCCTTTAGGCTCTAAAGAGGACCATTAACTCAATAAGAGAACTAAGCACCTCCTGTGTGCCAGCCACTGCGCGAGAGTCTGAGCTCAATCAGGCCCAGTACTGATGGAGAGTTGAAGCTAAGGCATAAATGTGATACAAAGTAGAAAGTGGATGAATTGCCTTATAGAGGGACAGGGAAAACACTTCAAGCACAGAAAGAGCAGAGCAGGAAAGGAGATGGCTCACGGCTGAGGTGGGCCAGGCATCCTGACCATTCTACCCACTTTCTCCTCTTTTTAGCTCTGAATGCCCAGGCTGCCCTCTCCCAAGCTCGGGAGCACCAGCTGGCCTCTGCCTCAGAGCTCCCCTTGGGCTCTCGACCTGTGCCGCAGCCCCCAGTACCTCGTCCGGAGCACTGTGAGGGAGCTGCAGCAGGACTCAAGGCAGCCCAGGGGCCACCCACTCCTGCTGTGCCTCCAAATACAGATGTCATGGCCTGCACACAGACAGCCCTCTTGCAGAAGCTGACCTGGGCCTCTGCTGAACTAGGCTCTAGCACCTCCCTGGAGACTAGCATCCAGCTGTGTGGCCTTATCCGCGCATGTGCGGAGGCCCTGCGCAGCCTGCAGCAGCTGCAGCACTAAGAGAAGCCCCTGAGAAAAACCCTCTAGAAAAACAGCTGTTCCTCTGTGTGGTTTATTCTTTTCCTGGTTCCGAGTGTGCATGCCAGCCCCAGCTGCACTCACGTTTTTCCTACTTTTGGCCTCTCACCTCTCCACTCTCTGCTCTCCTTGACGCCCTGAGATGAGTTGAACTTGTTTCTGCTCAGTTTCCCGTCAGGATGCGGGAGTAGGTAGATGACTATGTGATGCACCTTTTCTAAGGAAGAGGTGATAGCCTTTTCAAAGGTAGCAGCCAGAGGGGTGGACCCTAGCCTTGTGTCTGGCAGCACATCTGCAGCCTCCTCCGCCATCCGGTGCCCATTCCCCACCTGGAAGTGAGATTTTGGGTTCCAATCCCCTTGATAGATTCCGCTCCTTTCCCTGAGCATCCTGACCCTATCAGCCTATTCCATCTCATGGCCACCCCAGGTACTCAGCGACAGGAGTTTGTGGTGACCTCAGCGTCAGGTGGCACGTTAGGCACCAACTGTGGACTTGCCAGTCTCCTGATTCCACTGTTAGATCATTTTTCTTGGGAGGGTAATGGGCAGAACACAGTGTGTGTGGGGGCGGGGCGCGGCGGGCAGACGGGGTAGCGAAAAGAACCACGAAGAAACCACGCCTGCCCCCTTCGGCCTTTTTCCCCCTCCGCCGCATTTTTCCAACTCCCCTTGAGTGAGTGGGTGCCCCGCTGTCTTTTTCTCAGCTTTACGCGACGTGGTCCCACAGCCGTTGCCTTTTTAAGAGAGGCCCGGCCCATGCGGAGGGGGTGGGGCAGAGGCGGAGTCTGAGGAGCTGAGGAAGGAACAAAGCGCGGCCTGCGGGCGGCGGCTGGGCTCCGGCGGGGCCGCGGGGTGCGGGGCCTGCGGGCAGCGTCCCGGGCGGAGTGTTGGGGAGAAGGAGGTGGCATCGCCGTCCGTGGCCATGAATGGGCTGCCCTCGGCAGAGGCGCCGGGCGGGGCAAGCTGCGCCTTGGCCGGGCTCCCACCGCTGCCGCGCGGCCTCAGCGGCCTCCTTAATGCGAGCGGGGGCTCGTGGCGGGAGCTGGAGCGCGTCTACAGCCAGCGCAGCCGCATCCACGACGAGCTGAGCCGCGCCGCCCGCGCCCCGGACGGGCCCCGCCACGCCGCCGGCGCCGCCAACGCGGGACCCGCAGCCGGCCCGCGTCGTCCTGTCAACCTGGACTCGGCGCTGGCCGCGCTGCGCAAGGAGATGGTAAGTGGGTGGGCGCCGGGCCAGCTGGGCGGGGGGCTGATGCGAAACGCAGGGGACTGGGACAGGCGATCTGGGTCTCAGAGGACTTGCAGGCACCAGTTGGGTTCCAAGGGTTATGGTAACAATAATTAGTGATAGTTAAAAATTATGGCAGTAGTTACCATATATTTTCAAATGATCTGCTGATGTTACTTCATCCTGCTAAATGGATAATAACCCCATTTTTTGGGTCGTGACTAAAGTTGCACTGCCAAACAAACAAACAAAAACTTTGTTTAGGAAGGTGCGGGGAAGATGGGCTGGGGCCCACTGTTCCAGGGGGCAGGGCTGGGCTGGGCTGGGGTGGCCTGGACCCCAACTCCAGCCCACCCTCAGTTGTCTGCAGGTGGGGCTGCGGCAGTTGGACATGTCCCTGTTGTGCCAGCTGTGGGGCCTGTACGAGTCAATCCAGGACTACAAACACCTGTGTCAAGACCTGAGCTTCTGTCAGGACCTGTCATCCTCCCTCCATTCGGACAGCTCCTACCCACCGGATGCGGGCCTGTCTGACGATGAGGAGCCTCCCGATGCCAGCCTGCCTCCTGACCCACCACCCCTCACTGTGCCCCAGACGCACAATGCCCGTGACCAGTGGCTGCAGGATGCCTTCCACATCAGCCTCTGAAGAGCTGGGGGGCAGGGGGCACGCACCCATGCAAAAGGCTCAGAAACTCCCCCTCCGGCAAGCCCTCAGACTGCGGAGCCTGCGCCTTCCCCCATACCACCTCACCTCACAGGAGGGCCAGGCATGTATTCCTCAGAGGCGAAACTGCCAAACCCTTTCTCCTGTCTTGGGTTGACTGGCACTGGGGCGGGTACCTAGGGTACAGCCTCTGCCCATGGTACTGGGCCTCCACTTCTTCCACATGTGTGCACCCCCAGCTTGGCCAACCCTCAGCCTTGCAGTGGGGCCCGAAGCATCTTCCCCTCCCCTTGGCATCTCTGGGATTGGGATGAGTGCCTCGCTCCCATCTCCTCCTCACCTTTTGTTGCTATCGGCAGCTGCTGGCTCAGGGGCATCCCACCTCCGGGCTCTGGGTTCCTCTGCCCTGGTAGGGCTCCAGGACCCGTCCCAATACCCACCCATGGCCAGGAGGGCCAAGGCCCCGTGCTGGATATTTAAATTTAGGGGCCGGCCTCCAGGGCGCGTAGATAAATAAATACTCTCAGCGTCGTTGTACTCTGCCTGGCTGGCTCTGGGGCGGGAAGACCGCGGCGTTCTGGCAGGTGCGGCTCCGCGCTCTGCCGGCGGGTGGCGCCCGAGACCCCCGAGTGAAGGTCCTGCCGTCCCGCCCGGGCGGGGCTGGGGGCGCTCCCGGCTGGCCGAGCTTGGCTCAGCCGCCCGGGTGACTGCGGTCGAGTCACTTCCCTTCTCTCGCCCGCGACCTCCGAGTCCTCCGCCTCCTCCCAGTTCGCTTCGGGCTTTCCCCGCCGGCCGGGAAGGAAGGAGAAGGAGCCGCCCACCTTGAGGAGGGAAACTTTCCACCCCGCGCGGGGCGGGGTTGGGGCGGCGCAGGAAATGGGTGGCCGGAGTCGGCTGAGCAAGGGGCCCCGGCGGGGGCGGGGGAGGCGCCTCCTGGAACGGTTTGGGAGCTCACAACCCGCGGGTGGGAGGGAGGCGCGGCAGAGGCAGAGCGGTGTGAAGTTGCGGCACCTCGGGCTTTCCCGGAGGCCAGGCGTGAGAATCCGCGGCGATGAAGGTTGATGGGGTCCCAGGGACCCGTATTCCCCGCTTAGTCTATGAAGACCGCCGGCTCTCCCCACAGCACTAGCGGTCTTTACAGTTATCTGTTAAAGGTTTCTTCTTAGGAAACCGGGGACCCACACCGCTGGGACTGGGAACCAAACCCAGGTGTCAAGCCCACCGGAAGAAGTCAGCACGTTCGGAGACAGTGGCTACTCAGCCCCGCATACGACACCCCACAACCTCCTGAAAAGAGGCGAAGCCGCACACCGAGGTGTGTGGTGCCTCCTGGAGATGCAGCCCAGCTGGCAGTCCTGGCACTCTGACACCCCGTTAAACCAAGTAGCCGTCACGCACCGGGCTCCTGTTCATTCACACACCTTGCAGAGCAGCGGGAGGGAGCAAACTGACCTGTTGCCCCAGGGCAGCTGACACCTGCAGAGGCTCATTACCATGCAGGGCGGGTGGGTAAGCGATAAAGGCTCTAATCTAGGGGTTCACAGAGCCGCTAACGCCCCAGGCAGGCTTTCCTGGGGAGGGAGAGTAAACATACACACAGAAATGACATGTTTTCCCCATCCATGATAGCTCATCCCATTTAGTAAGGCACGGCAAAATCAGCCAGGCTTTCTGCTAAATGCTTTCTGAGGTTCGTGCTCTCAGTGATTCCGTAAAAGGCGGAACTATAATTATCCCCATTTAATAGACATTGAAACTGATGCTCAGAGTGTTAGCGCTTTGCCCAGGGTCACACTTGGTTGGAAGTCAGTTGTGAATCTGCAGCTACTTGTCGGGGTTTGGGATTATCTTCCCACTCGACAGCAGTCAGGTTCTGAGGTTGGGCCCCCGAGGTTAGTCCTGACTCGATGCCTTCCTGCTCTGGTTAAGACGTGGGTGGCTGCACCATGGAGTAGAGGAGAGCTGGTCCTTGCCCAGATTCACAGTATGACTCTGAGCAAGTCCCTTCCCCTTTCTGGGTCTCAGTTTTCCCAGCCCGTGAAAGGGGGCCAGCAGTACATACCTCCCAGGGCTGCGAGCAGGAAGGGAGGCGGCCCGGGTAGCGCTCTCTAGGGTGGCACGAAGTTGCTGGTTGCCCTCTCTCGGGGTCCACGCAGCCTCTGCGCGCCCCGAGCGGGCACTGCGGTCGGGTGACACTCCCTCCACGTCCCCCCCGCCCCCCCCCGGCCCCCGCTCCTGCTCTCTCTCCCGGGTCGCTGCGCGAGGCCCCGGAAGCCGGGTCGCCCCGCCCCCCGCGCTCCTGCCCCGGCCCCCGCCCCGCGCCGGAGCCCCGCCCGCCTTCCGACGGGGGGTGCGGCTCCAGGAAACGGCGCGCTCCCAGCTCCGCGCTCGGCCACCCGACGCGCCCCAGACGACCCCGCCGATTCAGCCAGACCACCCGGCGGGCCCCAGCGGCGGCAGCGGAGAGTGCAGTCCCCGGTCGGAGTCTGGGACACCTCCGCACGGACGGGGCGGGCGGCGCGGACAGGCCATGGGGACCCGGGCCGGGCCAGCAGTGGCGGGCCAGCGGGAGCCCCGGGCCTGAGAAGTGGGCGGCGGGGCGGCGGGGGCCATGACCTCGGTGTGGAAGCGCCTGCAGCGCGTGGGCAAGCGGGCGGCCAAGTTCCAGTTCGTGGCCTGTTACCACGAGCTGGTGTTGGAGTGCACCAAGAAATGGTGAGTGGGAGGGAGGCCAGGGGTCTCCTCCGAACTGGGACCTCATCCAGCCCTTTGAGTCTGAGAGGATTCTGCCCCCCAGCCCAATGACCAAATGGGCCCCCACCCCAGCTTGGGCCCTGTTTCTGTTCCCAGGCTTGGAGATTCAGAAGTGCCCTTGCAATTTGTGGGACCCCTGGAGTTGGGGGTGTGGGCAGCCTTCCCTGCGCGGGGGTCAGGACTTTCAGGCCTGAGGTTCTGCCTGTGTCCACTCCTTCCTCAGCTGCGGTCAGGGTTGGGGGAGGGAGGCCGCGTGTCTTGTGCCAGAAAGGTGATTCAGGGTGGCATTGGAAAAGGGATGAAGTTTTGAGGTCTGCAGGTGGCTAGGGCTGGGGCAGGAACCTCCCTGACCTTACTTAGTCCAGCTAAGAACAGAGATGTTGCCCCCTCCTCCCCTGTCATCTTGTTGAGCCAGAAGAAGCCCTCCAACTCCTGCCTCTTCAGCTAGAGTGCTGGGAGGCTGGAAACATCTCCACAATGTCCTTAAAAGGGGAAACTGAGTGCTGGGAGGAATGAGGAGGGAGGCGGGGAGCAGCTTAAAGGGGCCTGAGGACCTAGGAGGTTGTGTGTCCGGGATGAGAGGGTTGTGGAGGGCAAGGTGGGAGGGTGAGGGGTGATTCACGAGAGGGTGCAGGCCCCAGCCCGGACTACCAGCAGGCTCAGGGGCATCTCGTTCACATGCCGCCACCCATAGCTGCCCAGGCCCCTGCGTCACACCCTAAATATACGTGCTCGCTGGTGTCAGCTTCCCTTGGCTGGATTAGGGCACAGCTGTGGGGGCCTCACCCCCCAGATGGGGCTAAATTTAGGCTCCCCAGGGGAAGGGCTGGGGCAGGAAGGGACCATAGGGTCCAGGGGGAGGGGAGTGAGCAGGAGGCTGGGGTCCCTTGGGCAGCTGCCATATCCCTGGCCTTGCCCACACTGGGCCTGCTAGAGGGCTATTCACATCTTTCAGCAGAGCCCGGGAGAACTTGGGGGCTGGCACTTGAACTCTGGCCTCTGGCTCCTGCTCCAGCATCCTGCGGGAGGCCAGGGAAACGCTGGGCACAGCAGGCTGAGGGTGCCGGCAGTGTCAACGCAGCTGAGTCACAGGCGGCTGTGGGTAGGGCCTCCTGGGCTGCTTAGCCTGGAGCCCAGGCCGGGAAGCTGCCCCTGCCTAGGTTGCAGCTTCCCAGGAGGGCGTGCGCAGCCTGAGTCAGGCTGCCCAGCCAAGCCCCGCCCTCCCTAGGCACCCCCTGTCCACTTCCCCTTTCTGGGAAGGCCCCTTAGTTACCCTTGCTCTGCCATCGCCAGCAATCTGGGCTTGGGGAAGGGAACTTGGCTCAGGGCTGGAGGGCTCTAGGCTCAACCGTGTAACCTTGTTTGGCTCCAAATCTGTCTGGGCCTCAGCATCCTCAGGGTTAACAGAGAGCCAGTTATCCTGGCTTGGCCCCTAGAGGAACAGTGAGCTGGGCAAACCCAAGCGTCTGGCATGGGGCTGGGTACAGGCAAGGCAAGATTGTGTGCTGCCCTCGGCCGGATTGTCCCCTCAAGCATCACCCCTCCTGGGCAGCAGTTGAACATCTAACCCAAAGGGGCCTTCTGCCCCCAGGCCCAGTCCTGAGTCCACTCAGTGCCTGAGAATGGGCCCTGCGTGGCCACCTCTGTCCTCTTGCTTTGCCTCTGCCTCTCCTCTGACCTGGCATATGTGCTGTTCAGTTTAGATGTCACCCCTGGAAGTCTTCCCTGATTGCCCCCCAGGCTCCACTGTCAACATCTCGCTGAAAACTGATCCTCCTTGGGACCCCTGGGCCCAGCAAAGGGCTGGACATGGCGGGCGAGGGATGGCAGTGTTGGTTAATGACAACCTGATTCTCTACTGCCTCTCTGGCCTCATCCCCAACTCTCTGCCCCTCTCTCTGACGTCACCCTCCAGCCGCAGACCCTTGGACTTGCCATTCCCTCTTTCTCCAGATCCTCACACAGCCCATCCCCCTGCCACTCATGTCTCTGCTCAGACACCCAACCTCAAGGAGACCCCCAAGGGGTTCCCTCACATCACCCTGAAATTCGCTTGTTAATTTCTTTCTTGACTGGTAGTCTGCCCCCACCTCCATTGTCCTCATCGGAAAGGTCTTGCCCCTCTTTTGCCCGCCTCTGTCCCCAAAACTGGGCTGGGTTTATGGTGGGCGCTCCACAAACATCTTTGCGCGAAGGGACTTCTTTTATCCCTCGTCTTTGTCTCTCCCTGTGTGGGAGTCTGCGTGTGTACACAACGCTCAAGTGCGCATCTGTGTCTGGCATCTCTTACCGGGTCCTTGTGTTTCTGTGTGTCTTGGTCTCTGAATGTGCCTGTCCCTGTCGCTTGCTGTCTTTCCTCATAGTCCCTGCCTGCCCACACTGTCTGGGCCTTTGCCCTTCTGCTGTGGCCCCACCCTGCCTTAGCAGCTCCACCCTGCACCCTGTGGCCCCAGATAAAGGGCTGCCCAGGCCCTCTCCTGGAGGAGGGAGAGGTGGGCAGAAGGAAGCCCACCCTGAGGGAGCTGGGGGAGGAGGAGAAAGAGGAGATGGGGAGGCGGGTGAGCCTGACCAGGCAGCCCACTCTCTTTCCCCCTCCCCCTCCCCCTCCCCCAGGCAGCCAGATAAGCTGGTGGTGGTGTGGACCCGGCGGAACCGACGCATCTGCTCCAAGGTGGGGAAGGATGGCAACTGGGGATCCAGGTTAGGGATGGGGGCCAGTGGGAAGCTGATGGGGGCTGATGGGGGAGTGGAGTCAGGTTCAAGTTCAGATCAGAATCCACAGAGGAGAGAGGAAGATGGTGTCAAGGTTGGTGATAGGGTGGGTGTGGGAGGGAAGAGTTAAGATCGGGGCAGGACTCAGATTGCCCCTTGTAGGCCCACAGCTGGCAGCCGGGCATCCAGAACCCATACCGGGGCACCGTGGTGTGGATGGTACCTGAGAATGTGGACATCTCCGTGACCCTCTACAGGGTGAGTCTCTAGCCCTCCAGCATGAATGGCAACAGGGCAGGCAATTGCAACACGGGCAGTCACCCGGGTCTCCTGGTAGGTTGTTGATCCAGATAGAAGAGGATGCGGGGGGTGAGGCCAAGAATTAGGGGGGCCTGCTCAGCATGACTGGCCCAGGAGGTCTCCTTGGAGGAGGCAGCATTTACCCAACACATGCAGCATGAGAGGCAGCTGGGACCAGAACCTGGGGTGCATCCCAGGAGGAGGTAGCAGCATGTGTAAAAGCCACCACCGCACGCACCTGTAATCTCAGCTACTTGGGAGGGTAAGGCACGAGAATTGCTTGAACCTGGGAGGCAGAGGTTGCAGAGAGCCAAGATCGCACCCTAGCCTGGACGACAGAGCAAGACTCCGTCTCAAAAAAAAAAAAAAGCCACCACCACCAAGCACCTCCTGAGCCAGCACAGGCTCTGCTCCCTTTGCTGCCACCCCAGCAGCCGTGTACTCACCAGCACTCCTTCCCAGGACCCCCACGTGGACCAGTATGAGGCCAAAGAGTGGACATTTATTATTGAAAATGTGAGTGTCTGGAGTGGGCTTGGGTCTGGAATCTTGGGGACCCTGGGACAGCACTGATGCTCCTTCCCCTGGTCTCTCCTCTGGCCCACAGGAGTCTAAGGGGCAGCGGAAGGTGCTGGCCACGGCCGAGGTGGACCTGGCCCGCCATGCAGGGCCCGTGCCTGCCCAAGTCCCGCTGAGGCTGCGGCTGAAGCCCAAGTCAGTGAAGGTGGTGCAGGCTGAGCTGAGCCTCACTCTTTCCGGGGTGTTGCTGCGGGAGGGCCGTGCCACGTGAGTGCCTACCTGCCCTCCTTGACCCTGGCCTGTGACCTCTAACCCCCACCCTCACCTTTAACCTCTGCCCCCCAGGGACGATGACATGCAGAGTCTTGCAAGCCTCATGAGTGTGAAGCCTAGTGATGTGGGCAACTTGGATGATTTTGCTGAGAGTGATGAAGACGAGGCTCATGGCCCAGGAGCCCCCGAGGCCCGGGCTCAAGTCACCCAGCCAGGTGGGCTCACAGCCCGCTGTGGATCCAGACTGCCAAGACCTGGGGAGGGAGGGTTTCCCGGGCCAGCAGCCACTTGCTGTGCCCGCCGTGTGATGGGAACTCATAACTGCCCAGGCAGTCCCAACCAACCCGGCAGCCTCAATCGTCCCAACCTGGCTGCTGGTTCCGTGATGGCCTTAGTCTTCAACTGAGTCCTGGAGGATGGGTTCCCAATGTCTCCCTGGGCTCCTGGGTCCTCTTCTCATCCCTGTGTGGTGCTTGCCAGGCCCGTACCTGACCCAGGACAGCTGGCTCAGAAGCCCCGCTCCTGATCCCTCACCACCAGCCCTCCTGGGCCAGCTGGGGCTTCCTCATCCCTCCCCGCTGCTTGTCCAGGCTTTTTCTCTGTCCACTATTGTGGTTCTCTCTCTCTTTCTCTCCACATCTGTGGGCCTGTCTCTTCTCGCAGG